TTTTTACTATGTATATATTATATATATATATATCTTTCAAATATGAATATGGAATGGTGCACCCGTTTGTTGAGCCCCGAATCTTCATTTCTTTCGAGGCGGGACAAAAACTAAATAATGCTGCCCCCCCTAGGAGTCCCTCGCCCTTTCTAGTTAGCGCTAGTTGGTAGTTCGTATTCAGATGTTTCGACTTAAAAATGTAAACTTACAATGATTATTTAAAAGAGCAACACAAGTTTCTTGCTCGTTCTTCTTGTGATGAGACAGCTTTCAGAATTTTTTTTCATGATGCATTAATATTGATTAACGCCCCCCATACTTACTTACTGCTCGGGGCATGGGCCCCGTGTTGGCACCCCCCTCGATCCGGGGCCGCGCTGGCGGGGCACTATTGGAGGATGATAAGATGAACATGAGGTCAGGTCAGTTAGTCTATTGTGGTAAATTCACCAGGAATTTATCAAGATGGTTTGTAGGCGCAACCGCATGGAGGTCAACCTGATGGTATTTTGCTAGCAATGGGGTCAACAATTCACATTACTAACAATCTACTTTTCTTCTAATTACTATATTAAAAAAAAAAGAATAAGTAGAAAATATACTTGTCATAGCACAAAGAATTTTATAGTACAGGGATAGAGCACAAAATTAAATAACAGCTAATTTACGATTTACGATTTTACCATATTATGTATAGCTTTATAAGAGTTTATAGATTGGCAACCCTACATACGAGAGTAATATAGATTTGATCGTGTGATCATACGAGAACACTTTCAAGGTTAACATCTCAACTCATCTCATCTGTAACTAGTTTAAAGATGTTTATACAAATGTATATAGATATAGAAATAATATTTATTAAAATAAACTTAATTATAATAATTTTTGAAATATTTTTTTATCCGTCATACTCGTGAACGAGTGCTACTTGGAGTGTCTGGTCTGCATTTAATCTCATTATGTATTAATTTTTGACTCTTAGTGTTAGTAAGTACTTTGTATTCACACATTTCAACTTAAAAATTTGAAGTTATAACAATTATCTATACATCTATACATATAAATAAAATTGGAGTGTCTGTTTGTAATATTGAAATAACCGTTTTTACTACATGCATATGAATATAAATACGGTCTATCTGTTTGTTTGTTCCGGCTAATCTCTGAAATAGTTGGACCGATTTTGACGGGACTTTTTTTGGCAGGTAGCTGATATAATAAGAAATAACTTAAGCTACTTTTATTTTAGAAAAAATCTTTAATTTTATAAAAAATAATGTTATTTCCACTCGGACGAAGTCACGAATACAGCTAGTTATATATGTTAGTAAATTATATACGCAGAAAACACTCAATCGAATGAAATTACATCAATTTACTTAATTTTAAAAACTAAACAAAAGTATTTAAGTATTTGTATCAGTTGTCTAGTACCCAAAACACAAGCTCTGCTTAGAATGGTACTAGATGGCCCCGTGTGAATTATCCTGAGTGATTATTATATGGAAAGCTATAAAAAATATATATGTGAGCATTAGCATAAATTAATAATAAAATTTAAATAAATGTTATTATTCAACAGACTTATATGTTATAATATTTAAATTCGTAAATGATTATATAATTTAATATCGCAACTCCAATATTTAGATATATTTATTTGATAAGAATATATAAAGAACATATATAGTCTGTGACATGGTAGTTTATGGTATACCTGATAAAATTATGTTATAAATTTAAAACATATACCGCAACTCCAACATTTAACGATATTTATTTAAGAAGAATATATAAGGAACTTATATAGTCTGTGGCATGGTAATATGGTAGTTTATGGTATACCTTATAATATATTTTAGTCACCATATTATATTTTTTTAAGCTTTTTAATTTTAGGTTCTTAGTTGTACAATTAGGTTATGTAAATAATAATAATAATTTTAATTATATGTAAAAATACAAATAACTAAATACAAACCTGATAAAAATATGTTGTAACATTTTAGATATTAGTATTATTATATAATATAATCTGTTTTTTAACTCTGAGACAAAAATTACAGGTGTAAATGTAAAACTTTCAAATAATGTAACCACTTACAGCGGGGTAGTGATGTACCTGCGATACCAATTTTTTTAATAGTAAAATTTTATTTCAACATTTTAGTTTTACAGCTTTACAGAAGGTTTCTACAAGAGATTTTTAAAATATACATACATATACTAGTGATTCCATTACTGTCGTATTATACAACACTCCATCCATACAGTACTCCATCTTGTGGGTTTGCCCAAACATTGACAAATTCATATTGACAGTATATGCTCAGTAATCAACTAGTGAGTACGTAAACACTTATATCTAATTGCATGCAACATTTAAATATGTATGTAGACACTTGAGAACCATTTCATGGTTACTTGTTAATGATTATTAAATGATAAACTTAGAGTTATAACATTCGATAAATAAATTACCTCTGGACAATTAACACAGCGCCATCTAATCCCACGGTAAGCAGAGCTTGTGTTATGGGTACTAAACAACTAATATAAATACTTAATGGTTTAGCAGTTTAGCATACTGCTTTATTTCCAAAGGTCGCGGTTTCGATTCCTTGCACGATGCAAACATTTATACTCATGAGTATGATTGTTTGTATCGGTCTGGGTATTTCTATGAATGTTGTGTATATATTTACAAAAAATATCAACAAATGTTAGCACAGACGGGTCCACCATTCGACAGCCTCGGTGGTCTAGTCGTATAGCATGTCGCTTTACTATCCGAAGGTCGCGGGTTTGATTCCTTGCATGGTGCAAACATTTGTATTCATGAGTATGATTGTTTGTATCGGTCTGGGTGTATTCTATATATATTAATACATATGTATGTATTTACAAAAAAAAAGTATCTAAGTATTTATATCAGTTGTCTAGTACCCATAACACAAGCTCTACTTAAAGTGGGACTAGATGGCGCTGTGTTAATTGTCCAGAGGTTATTTATTATTATTTATCAGATATTCATATATATACTAGCCACCCACCCCGGCTTCGCACGGGTGTACATATATTATACATATAAACCTTCGTTTTGAATTACTCTATCTATTAAATAAAACTGCTTCAAAATACGTTGCGCAATTTTAAAGATTTAATCATACATAGGGACGGACAGACAGCGACAGCGACTTTGTTTTATACTATGTAATGATTATGATAACAACAAACTATTAAGAGCCTTTTTTTCATTCAGAAGAAAATAAAATAGTTACTTACTCTGTGCTCTGCGCAGGTCTACGTTTGCGCAGGATTATATATATATATCTAGCACTCATAACATAACCACCTCCGATGGATCTCCAGTCGAATTCAAAAGAGGATCGAATACCTCGGCCTGAACTGAGGTTCGAAACCCTAGCGGTGCCTTCGAACTGAACTCGTATCCCTCAGGCGGGAGTTGTCCTTCAGCCGCTCCATAAGTCCTTCCTTTGGTTTGTAGTGCCATCTGCACTCGCCTCCTATCGTCCGGTGAAGCTGTAAAGGCCAGCTGCGGCCGACAGCATTAAAGTAGTCCGAAAAAAACACAAGCACCACAGCTCAGCTGCTCCATAAGTCCTTACTTTGGTTTGTAGTGTCATCTGCACTCGCCCCCTATCGTCCGTTGAAGCTGTAAAGGCCAGCTGCGGCCGACAGCATTAGAGTAGTCCGAAAAAAACCATATCATAAGCTCCGATTATTAAGAAACGTCTCCCACAAAAAATCTACAATCGTGACTTGAAGCAAGATCTAGCAAATGGGAGAAAATCTTATTATGTCAACATAACCGGAACTAATTGATGTATGTGATTATATAAACTTTTAAACTCCCGCGCGTGGTAAGGCCATAAAGGTCAATGGGTTACCAAAGTGCTGAAGCATCGATGGATGCACGTATCATTCAATTAGAAAAGAGAAAATCGTAATTAGGAATCCGTCATTGATAAATGATGATGATTATAATGATTGCTATTACATTATAAGAAACAACATATATTTATTAACTAGCTTTTGTCCGCGGCTTCGCTTGCGTTAATTTATCCCCTTAAGGGTAGAATTTATCAAAATTATTTCTCAGGGAATGCCTACGTCATAGTAACTTTATGCATGCAAAATCTCAGCGTGATTGGTTTAAAATTGACAAAGTTTCATACAAACTTTCATCCCCTATTTTATTCCCTTGGGGGTTGAATTATTCAAAATGCTTTCTTAGCGGATGCCTACGTCATAACATCTACCTGCATGCCAAATTTCAGTCCGATCCGTCCAGTGGTTTGGGCTGTGCGTTGATAGATCACTATGTCAGTCACCTTTGAGTTGTATATGTATATTTAGAAGATTGTCCCTAATAAGTTAGTGCTGGTTGGTAGTTTGTATTCCCACGTTTCGACTTGTAAAATGTGAACTTACAAGGATTATTTAAAAGAGCAACACACAAGTTCTTGCTCGTTCTTCTTGCTATGAGACAGACTCCGAGTGGTAGATTAAAAAAAATTGTTATGACTCTTAAAAAGTGCTTAAATTAAGTTTATTTGAATAAATTATTTCTATTCTATTCTATTTTAATATTATATAGTTATACGACATCGTCCACGAGAAATATAACGTTATATTTCTAAAATAAAAGTAGGTTATATTACTCCTTATTACATCAGCTACCTGCCAAGAAAAGTCCCGTCAAAATCGGTCCAGCTATTTCAGAGATTCGTCGGAACAAACAAACAGACAGATAAAATAAAAAAAAAATCATTTTGTATGTATCGTATTTATATTCATATATGCATCTAATGAAAAACGGTTATTTCAATATTACAAACAGACACTCCACTTTTATTTATATGTATAGATTAAACATTGCAATTTATTCCCTTACAGTGGTAACGAGCGCCGAAATCCCAAAACACTCGCTCAACGATCAAAAACAAGGATCCGTTACTCAGGTCGAGTCTCAGGCATCTCACCAGGGTGATCAGACTTCAGGCCGCGTGCGCAGACAATGGCAAGCAGGCCCTGAAGGTCAGAAGGTCAGCTTCGGCAGGCGATCTCGAGCACCGCCCGGTTCAGCTGCACCTGCGCCGTTCTCCCTCCAGTCCGGCAATGCGATTTTATCTCGAAGTGCTATCGGTGTTGATAACCGTTGGTCAAATATTATACAAGGTACCTGTTCATATTCATGAGAACGAAGTCGCGGCTAACAGCTAGTGTGTAATAAATGTACTGTCTTTTTAGAATACATGCGGACTGGGGAGACGGCTGCGATGTCCGGACTGATCGGACAGTTTCCTCAGAGTCCTGTCACGGTCGACTTACCAGTCGGTGAGTATTCAATCAAATCAAATCAAATCGAATCAAATCAAATCAAATCAAATCAAAAATCTTTTGTTCATGCTTATATTTACACTTTCACCTTTAGTAGTGATTATTAATATAGTTAAACGGGTTATAACTTTATGGTAAATTATTAATTTTATGGTAAATACACTCAGACTCAACTCGTGACCACGGCTAATGCAACTTAATCGTATCGAGTGAGGTAAATACCTTTATTTACCTTAAAATTATTCGCATTAACACCCATTTAACTATATTAATAGTACTTTTTATTCATGTAGGATATTTTAGCCGCTTATGTACGTTAAGTTTTTTCTATAAATATATTATTTTTCTACAATAAATTTTATTGCTATATATATATGCACTGTAATATCTTCTTATATAAAAAATTATCGTGTCACAATGTTAGTTACCGTACTCCTCCAAAACGGCTTGACCGATTTTTATGAAATTTTATATGCATATTCAGTAGGTCTGAGAATCAGCTACTACCTATTTTTCATACCCCTAAGGGTTATAATAAGGGTTGTCCAGTCCTAATATTCATTTTTATGCGCCATTAAAAAATACAACCCTAAATTTTCACCCTTCTACCATCAACCCCTATTTTAATAGCGATTTTAATTTATATGGCAACACGTTTGCGGGGTCAGCTAATATATCTATAAAATTAGTTGTAGGATTACTACTACGATGTTAGTTGAGATGTTTGTGATATTGTTCCTACGTATAGAGAGTTACCATCAGGTAATTTTTCAGGTGGTGGTAACGGCAGAGCGCCAGAAACCTTGCCAGTGTTGGTACTGCCCATACCCATTCCAGTGCAGCGTGAGTATATATAACAACAAAAATATGACTTTCATTAGACATACTTTCGGTAGACATAATCAAACAATTAAAATTGTAGCCGTATCAAATCGCGGCTGAAGTAGTTATTATCCTCATCCAAAAAAAAAAGAGAAATTAAACACAACAGAGGAACAAATAAAATTAATAAAAAAAATGATGAACCATGGACAGGAAGACGCAGCGTGGGAAGACCTTCCAGCAAGGCGGACCGACGATCTGGTCAAGATCGTTGGAAGGCATTGGATGCGAGCAGCGCAGGACCGATCGTCGTGGAGATCTTTGGGGGAGGCCTATGTCCAGCAGTGGACGTCTTCCAGGCTGCGATGATGACGATGATATTATTATTTCTTTTATAGATGTCATTGTTTGATGATTTTCATCAGCAAAGACAACTCTAACATATGGGGTGCTAGAATGATTAAAGGGAGAATACTAAAAATTAATAAAAAAACTGTTCAGCCGTTCTCAAGTTTTAGCGAGACTAACTGTAATTCATTCATATATATATAGATTTTACCTTTACAGAATGTTCGTCAAACTACAATGAGCAACCGCTTACTCAACCGTTGAAACTAGAAGGACACCAGCCGATCGTGGTGGGCAACCAGGTGGCCCCACCGCCAGTACCGTTCAACATCGCCTTCCCGAACCGACTTTCAGAGACATCGCAACCCGAGACTAATTATTACACCAATGAAAGACATCCCACTCCAGAGATAGTGTCTGTAGGTTAGTGAAAGAATTTCTTATTCTATTTTTTTGAATTTACTAACCCTAACTGGGTTCACATCGATATTATCGAAAAATCTAATATTTTAAAAATATTAAAAGTAGGTAGTTTCATTATTACTCGGTATCGTTAAACTAGTTGCTTATAACCCCCACTCATACCTTCTCTGTATAAAAGGAGGGTTTTTGTAAGCCACGGCATTACCCCTCCGATCGATCCCCCGTCCAATTCACACGGGGGCCGATGTTACGACGGCCTGAGCCGAGGTTCGAACCCCTAGTGATGCCCTCAGACTAAAGGCGTATCCGTCTGGCGGGAGTTGGCCTTCAGCCGCTCCATAAGTCTTTCCTTTGGTTTGGAGTGCCATCTGCACTCGCCCCCTATCGTTCTGTGAAGCAGTAAAGGCTAGCTGCGGCCAACAGCATTAGAGCAGTCCAAAAAAAAAAACAAAGACTTGACATTCGGTCTTAGAGCACAGGGTTTGCTCGAAGACCGAATGTCGTGTCTAGCGCAGTGATGGCTGGCTCATCCGCCATACAGAGCAGACCAGTTCATGACTAGTGCTGCTTGTAGGGACTGGTCTGCTCTAATCACTACGATAAATTTAATCTTATTGTGTATTTAAAAGAGTTTTTCTAAAATAAAAGTAGCTTAAGTAACTCCTTATTACATTAGTTACCTACCAAAAAAAGTCCCGTCAAAGTCGGTCAAGCCATTTCAGAGATTAGCCGGAAGAAATGGATAAACAGCCAAAAATTGTAAAGAATGTTATTTAAGTGTATGTACCGTATTTATATTCATATGCATGTAGTAAAAATCGGTATTTTAATATTACAAATAGACATTCCTAGTTTTATTTATATGTATAGATTATTCTTGTATCCCTTCCAGTGTCATCCCAGCAGTTAATAGAGGCATTCAGAGCTCAACAGCCGCGGTCTCCGGAGCTGCCTCCACTGTTGCTGCCACACTCGCCAAAAATCGTGGTCACTCGCGGTCTTTTCGACCTGGGCAAGCAGGTTTTGAACGCGGTTGTACCACCGAAGCTGTCGTTCGACCGTTCCATGATGCTGAAGGGACATCTCACCATTCCACGAGCGGATTATACAGAGCCCTACACGGCATTGTAATTATATAATTATAGTTAACTGGCTGTACTGGCAAACGTTGTTTTGCCATATAAATTAATAACGCTAAAAAAATAGGGGTTGGTGATAGAAGGGTGAAAATTTAGGGTTGTATGTATTTTTTAATGACACAAAATAAAAATTTTAATAACAAAATTTTGCCCAGAAAATAAAAAAATGTTAGATGTGGATAACTCTTATCACTTAGGGGTATGAAAAATAGATAGTAGCCGATTCTCAGACCTACTGAATATGCTTTAAAATTTCATAAAAATCGGTCAAGCCGTTTCAGAGGAGTATGGTAACTAACATTGTGACACGAGAATTTTATATATAAGATATTCTTTCTTACTGCATCGAATTTTAGTTTATAGGAATAAACAAAGTGATATTTCATCTGACAATTCACACAGCGCCATCTAGTCCGAAGCTAAGCAGAGCTTGTGTTATGCGTACTAGACAAGTGTTAGAAATACTTTTGTTGTAAATACATATATAACATACGTAGACAACAACCAGACCAATACAAATCATATTCCATACTAGCTGTTCCCGTGACTTTGTCAGAGTGTAATTTAACTTTATATTTCTAAAATAAAAAGTTTTTTTCTAAATTAAAAGTAGCCTTCGTTACTCCTTATTACATCAGCTACCTGCCAAAAAAAGTCCCGTCAAAACCGGCCCAGCCATTTCAGAGATTAGCCGGAAGAAACAAACAGACAAACAAAAATTGTAAAAAATGTTATTTTTGTCTATGTACTACATGTAGTAAAAAACGATTTTTTCAATATTACAAACAGACACTCCTTTTTTATTTATATGTATAGATTATATTCAATACAAATGTTAGTATCGTACGGGGAATCGAAGATGCGACCAAACAAATCAATAAGTGCGAAACCTATAGATTACGAAATTTAAAGCGATGGTTTTCTTTTACCACGTTTTTAACATTTTACTCAAAGGGAAAGGCCCTATGAGTATAAGATTAAGTATAACTGTAATATAAAGTTGTAATCACAATATTATTATGTATCTACTATGCAGATACGATGCAGACAGCGGCATGAACCGCGTGGACATGCATGGAGGGACTTCCAGTTCTTACAGAGCCCAAGTTCCAGATGGTACCACACTCAGAGTCATGGTAAGACGCGCCAAGGATTTTTCATTCTAAGTTTGTGATGAGTTTTGGTCGAAGATTACTTTTGGAGACGCCATCTATTCAAAATCAATCAAAATATCTTTATTCATTTAGGTCTATTACAGACTCTTATGATATGTTAAATCTATTGCTTTCATGCTAAGAAGAACTGACAAGATATTCAGCTTTTCAAAATTTGTACACGTTTTAAATTTGCCGCGGTAATTATTTATATGTATAATTAGGAAAAATCAGAGGATCTTACCAAACAGGTAAACAGTTTACCTGTGATCATGGCGGTTGAAATATTTAAACGAGGATAATATTTTAAGAAAGGTGTTACATATGAATGTGGATGGTTATAAGGGCAGAGGAAGGCCGAAAAAGAGATGGGTGGACTGTGTGAAAGATGATATGGTAAGAAAGGAAGTAAATAACGCGATGACTGCGAACAGGGATGAATGGAAGCGAAAAACATATTAAGTCGACCCCAAATAAATGGGATAAGGAAGAAGCAGATGATGATGGCGGTTGAAATACTGCCGAAATATTGGGAACTCAATCAAAATAAAACTTGGTAAGATCCCGTGATTTGTCCTAATTATACATATAAATTTGGACATGAGTACAAAAATACACTGCTAGGGGTTCAAACCTAGGCTCAGGCAATCGTAATTTCGATGCCCGTTTGAATTGGACGGGGGATCTATCAGGTACTTGGTTAGTGTAATAAGACAGACTGCTTTTAAATAATTGTTTTTGAAAAAATCATATGGAAAATCTTTAAAACCTGAAGTCTTTTTCAGAAAACTGTGGACCGCACAGGTGATAAGGAGATGACTAGATGTGTAACGATGAGATCAACATCGGAACAATTCGACCGGGCGCCGCCTGTGCTGCCTGATACTGAACCGTTTAAATTCGAGGGTGAGTGTGATATTTGGAACGTTTTCTCTTATACGTGAGATTTGGTTTCATGAGACATTTCCAAGTATATCCTTAATAGTGTTAGTCTTAATGGGTCTATTAAACCGAAAGTCAAGAATCGTTAAAGAAGCTGAACTACTTATAGAACTTTGTTGCCTATTGGTGACTTAAATATATCAGAAGGTTATAAGTTCGAATCGGACTTATACCAAGAACTTTTATGACTTCATTTCCGTTTCTGGTTAAGCACCAATTTTTGCAGGTTCGATTCCTTGCACGGTTCAAATAATTGTATTCATAAGTATGAGTGTTTGTTTTGGTCTGGGTGTTTTCTATGTTTATTATATATGTATTCATGTTATTTACCTAGTTCGCATAATACAAGTTGGTGCTGTGTGAATTCAAATTATTCTAACTTTGATATTACTCATTCATAGGTTACGTCGACATGGAGGACGGTCGTAAAGCAGAAAAATGGGTATACAATATGTCAGGACGACCGGGTGAGATGGGAGGCGCTCAAGATGAGGCGCTCACTTACCGACACGAAATGCACGTCATGCGCGACAAGGACGGCAACAATATACCACTCAGGTAAGCTCCAGTCAGCTGTTGTAGGAGAGGCATTATTTTCGAACTATCCTAATGCTCTTCGCCGCAGTTGGCCTTTACAGCTTCACTATATGATAGGGGGCGAGTGCAGATGGCACTCCAAATCCGCGTAGAAATTATTGAGCGAAAGGCCAACTCTTACCTGACAGACACGATTTTAGTCTGAGGGGACCGTTAGGGGCTTGGATCTCGGCTCTGATCGTCGTAATTTAGATCCCCTTTGAATTGGACAAGGAATCGATCGGAGGGGGATGGAATGGTGAAAACCTTTGGTAGAAGTCGTCGACGAACAATAATTAATGCAGTTGCATTTCTCTTTTTTAGCTACGCTGTAAATGTGGACAGCTCGACTCTGGGACCCAACAGCGACAGCTACGAGCATCAATACACACACACTGAGCACATGACGCCACAGTTAGATGATCTTCGTATTGATATGGGTACTATATATGTATATGTATATTATTTTCTTAATAGACAAATATTAAATGATGTACTCGAGCCTTCGAGATATACGAGGGGCGGTCCTGAAATAATATATATTCTTTATTGTACTTTTAAATACCGTCATAAACTTAAATGTATACAGAGTGAGCAAAGGTGGACTTATCTCAAAAGAGATCTCTACCAGTCAACCCAACAGTGAGGCATAGCTATTAGTGAGTGGTGCAATTAACAATATTATGTTTGAATGTCCTAAATTTGAGAAAAAAAACATTTAAAATTCAACAAATATTGATAATCGTTCACTTCCATAAAATTAAAAAATATAAATTTTTGGCTTGCTTATATACCCACTAGGTTAGTATAAAAAACGTATAAATAGCCCACGATTTCCGGGAGGTACATTCATTTGAATACGAACCGTCGCAGGGGTAACATCAAAATGGAGAAAAACGAAATTAGAGCTGTCATCTGTACCTCTGTTTGAAAAAAATGTCTACCAAAGATATACGTGTGGAGGAGTCAGGGCAATTAGCCCCTCCTCGACTACGCATCACCAAACAGGTTTATCTATGTACAGTTGGAGAGAGGGAATCATTGTTAATAGCCTTCCTATTGCTAGTAATAAGAATTGTTAGGTCAACCTCCATGTGGCCTTACCAGGATAAGTTGTTGATTCCTAATGAATTTATCAAGATGGGCTAACTAACTTCATGCTCAGCCTATCATTCTCCACGTTCTATATTCATGACTAGCTTTAGCTCGCGTTAATTTATCCCTTTAGGGGTGGAATTTATCAAAATCCTTTCTTAGCCTACGTCATAGTAGCTTTATGCAAGCAAAGTCTCAGCCCGATCGGTTCAAAACAAACAACAGTGACAAAGTTTTATACAAACTTTCATCCCCTATTTTATCCCCTTGACGGTAGAATTAATCAAAATCTTTTCTTAGCGGATGCCTACGTCATAACATCTACCTGCATGCCAAATTTCAGCCCGATCCGTCCAGTGGTTTAGGCTGTGCGTTGATAGATCATTATGTCAGTCACCTTTGAGTTATATATATTTAGATTTAAATGAACTAGTGCTGTTAATCAGCTATGATTGCCGTTTTCGATTCTGTTGGAAGTTGTTCTCTTGTTTTACAGTTAAATAAAAATGCATATATTATCGTAAAATTGATGTTGTGATAGATCGTGAGTGCGACGAAGTTGAGGAAACGCAAGATATGGCGAAGGTTGACCCGTTGAGAGAGTACACGATGCCAGAAGTAGACAAACGTCACAATGAGGGCCTCCTAAGGTAAGCGTTGCTAAATTTTACCATATCACTACCTGAATGGTAATACGTACCTATAAGGTAATACGTACATACGTACTAAGGGGGAAAGGTGTTACATATGCTTTCTTGATTCAATTATTTTAGAAATATGAAAGCGTAGCGGGTTTTGTATTAATTGCCGCATGTATTCTTATGTGAAATGTGAATACTATAAACATCAGATGGCAATTGTGAGTAGCTATGACGTGGTCTGGTGTTTTGAGTAGTCATGCTCACTAAAATGTCCAGACTTGTGGCGGCGTGGTGGGCCGGGTCATTAGGCTCCCTAAAATATGGTCGAGCGCAGTGATGGCTGGCTCATCCGTCATACTCGTGAACGGGTGCTGCTTGTAGGGACTGGTCTGCTCTAATCACTATGACTGATTTCCTCTTATTAATTGTTTAACTAGTTGGTTATGTATTCAATATTTTTTTTTTCTTTTTGAGTATTTAATTGAATTAGTGCTAATCGGTGGTTTGTATTCACACACTTAAACTTAAATTGTAAGTAAGAATAAATTATTTAAAAGAGCAACACACAAGTTTCTTGCTTGTTCTTCTTGTGATGAGACAGCATTCCGAATGAGCGGTAGATTAAAAAAAAAAAAATGTTATGACTATTCAAAAGTGCTTCAATGTAAGTTTATTTGAATAAATGATTTTCTATTCTATTCTATTCTATTCTATGAATGTGGATGGTTATAAGGGCAGAGGAAGGCCGAAAAAGAGATGGATGGACTGTGTGAAAGATGATATGGTAAGAAAGGAAGTAAATAACGCGATGACTGCGAACAGGGATGAATGGAAGAGAAAAACATATTACGCCGACCACAAATAAATGGGATAAGGAAGAAGCAGATGACGATGACGTACATAGTACTAAGGCCCGCCCAGTTTTTTAGATATACCATTTGTTGATAACTTAGTGGACTGTATTGATAATGATTATTGTTCAAGCATGGACAAAAAGGAATACTGAGTGGACTTACGGGATTGCTGGAGTCTGCGCTTGATTTTCACTGGATGCAGTCTATATATGTTACACCATTCTTGTTACAAACCCGCCATTTGATTGATTGACTTTCTGATAAGTTTATATATTAAATCATTACGAGATTTTGTTGGAGTACGCACTTCGTTACCGCCATTAAAATTTTCGTTCTTATGCTTTTTGACTTTTGCTTGTGATTGGTCAGTCAAGAGTATTGTATAGGAAGGAGCGGGAAATATGAAAGTGCTTGATCTAACACCATTATAATTATTAAACATTTTCTATAATGTTGTAATCTCACGTAATGATTTTTATTTTATTATTGTATGTTTTTCTTATTAATATTTTATTTTCTCGTTTAATCATTACCACTTAGTTAAAATTATATTAAATTATACTCTGAACTATTTACATTATTTTTATTATACACACACCGCACAGACAGTCACTAATAGTATTGCTCTGTTTATTTTAATTATTACTTTCACGTACCCTCAAATGGGTTGAAGTTGAATATCAGTGTTTTGTTCCCTGAACAATGTTCCACGCTGAGCTTCGAGCTTTTTGTAATGCTACAGATCACACATAATAACACAATTTTATAAATCTTATATCGTATTATGTATTGTCTATTGTTATGAACATGTTCTGTGTGATTAGCAAACATATAAACGATATATATCTATCACATTTCTTTCAGTTTTGTTAGTTTGTTAAATAACTTCGACCTCGGTGGTCTAGCGGTCTAGCACACCGCTTTACGACCGATGGTCGCCGGTTCGATTCCTCGCACGGCACAAACATTTGTATTCATAAGTATAATTGTTTGTATCGATCTGGTTGTTTTCTATGTATAATATGTATGTATTTAAAAAAAAAAATATCTATGTATATGTATTAGTTATCCAGTATTCATAACACAAGCTTTAGCTAGCTTAACTTGGGTCTAGATGGCGCTGTGTTAATTGTCCTGAGATTATTATTATTAATACTATTATTAACTTCCATATTTTCTGTTCAGCTATGCCTCAAAATTCGCGCGCAAGTTTATAGACAGCGGAGAAGAAGCGGTGAGGAAGAACTTACTAATGCAGACTACTCGGTTTGTGGAGTCCGCCAACCGTCAGGCTGGTACCGCTAAGATGGGCTTGAACTTCCTGGCTGATCGACTGCTTTCAGAGGTGGAATACTTGACTGGAGTGGTGGTTAGCAAGGATTTGAGGCATTCAGACCCGTTCCCCTACCTGCGTAATCAGTTGCGTGACATTGCTGACAAGTTGCTTGACAGATTCGATTGGCGGTCGAAGGATGCTGTAACACACGTGCGTTGTAAGTACACAGTTTCAACTTATTACAATTTTTGTCGATAAAAATTAATACATTTTGGACAGATCTATTTCAAATTGGATTCTGATCTAATCGAATAATAATAACAATTCTTGATAATCACACAGCATCATTAAGCTAAGCAGAGATTACGTTGTAGGTTCTAGACAACTGATAGATATACATAGATATTTTTTTTTTTAAATACATACATAATATACATAGAAAACACCGAAAACGATACAATCATACTCATAAATATAATAATGTTTGCACAATGCAAGGAATCGAACTCATGACCATCAATAGTAAACCGATGTGCTAAACCGCTAGACACCGAGGCCGTCGAATATATAATTTCAAGATTCAAGATTCTTTATTTGTAAAATATGCGTGATTATATAAGGAGATGATATACATATATAAGGATTTTGTCCGACATTTAGCCTAGATGGTATACAATATACTTAAATGCTACAAAAATATATTAAATTTAAATGTCAAACAATAATAAAAAAAGAATGACGTCATTATAACAGATGAACAGACAAATAGATGGTTTTGAAGCCATAATGTGAAATAGAACTGCATCACTGATGTGTAGAATTCAGGGGAGCGCAAACAGCCTCCTAAACACCATATCCAGTATGTCGGATTGTCCACTTCAGGGGCACTGGATATCGCTGCATTGCTGCGGACCCAGGGCTTCTGGACGTGGACAAAGACAGTATAAAATTGTAATTTACTAACATAGTTTATAAGTTGTTTATTAACATAATATGGATGGATAAATATCCGAAATAAATGAAATAATAATAATAATAATAACACAAAAACTACAACTTAACACCTTAGGCGTCATGTGCATCTTTTTGTCACACAGTGTCTGGAACACTGTGTATTCAAAAGTATACACAATACAATATCTTTCTACTTAGTAATCGCGCTGTGTATCCTTTAGGAACACGTTCTCTGTACATATTATGACTATTACACTAATGAAAGCACGGGCCTGTCGCATTTTTGATGAAAATGGTCTGGGAATCAGTAACTTTATAAAAATTATATAATATTACTTAGGGTCTGGCGCTGAAGGTGTTAAGTATATGTCAAAACATCACTTAGTACATATAAATAACAAATAGTAACTTAAGTAATCAAACTATATTGACGACCTCGGTGGTCTAGCGGTCCAGCACACGTACGTCCGATGGTCGCGGGTTCGATTCCTCGCACGGCACAAACATTTGTATTCATGAGTATGATTGTTTGTATCGGTCTGGGTGTATTTACGAAAAAAAATATCTATGTATTTGTATCAGTTATCTAGTACCCGTAACACAAGCTTTAGCTAGCTTAACTTGGGATTAGATGGCGCTGTGTGAATTGTCCTGAGATTATTATTATATAATTGGGATAATAGAAATCACTTTTCTAGAATGCTCCAAGAGAGGGTTTTTTTTTGTGGATGATAATGGAATAGTACACCCGCCTGCGCTAACGGTTTACGCTGGCGGGGCACCAGTGGAGGATAATAAGATGAGCACGAGGTCAGGTCAGTTAGCCCATCGTGATAAATTTAACACGATGGTTTCCAGGGGGAACCGTGTGGAGGTCGACCTGACAAAGTATATTGCTAGCAATGGGGTTATCAATCCACATTACTAACAATCCCCTTCCCCCTCCAAGAGAGGGTTAGAGAAGGAATTTATTTCATTACAATATCTTCGCAGACCAAAACGCTTGTAAAGCATGCTGGGCGTTTGCTGTGACCGCGGCTATAGAAGGTGCCTTGAAGATTCAGTCTGGCAAACTGGTGCCTCTCAGTGAGAAGGCCCTGGTGGACTGCGCACACAAAACTGGAGGCAACGGGTGCGGGGGCACCTGGCCGAGTCGGGCTTACGACTACGTCAAAGATCGGGGCCTACCCTCCCTTGGGCAGTACAGAAAATACGAACCAAAGGTATATTATTATGTTTTTATAAAAAGAATTTTATGTAGCTAACTAGAATGCAGGGATTTTACGGATATGAAATATCGGATACGGATATAGGAATGATTATTATATCGGATACGGATACAGATGCGGATATTAAAATATTTCGAATTATCCGTTAGTTGCGGATATAAATTTTTTAAGGAATTTCAAAAGTAAAATACAAATAGATAATAAAATGGTTACATAACATGTCTCTATTACGCTCCGCTCCTATCCGATATTATCTGAATATATTTTTATATCGGATATCCGATAGTTTCGGTTACGGTTATGGAGCACCCTAACATCCCTACTAGAATGTCAAGAAAACCGTTGCATATATATTAGATCAGCACTACGGATATTACAACCTATTATAACGCTCGTATTACTTACTAGCTGTTCCGTTCGTCCGCGTGGAATTTAATTTTATTTTTCTAAAATAAATATTTTTTTCTAAAATAAAAGTAGCCTAAGTTACTCCTTATTACATCAGCTACCTGCCAAAAAAAGTCCCGTTAAAATCGGTCCAGTCATTTCAGAGATTAGTCGGAACAAACAGACTGACAGACAGACAGACAGAAATTTTAAAAAGTGGTTTTACTGGTGTATGTACATGTAGGGCATAGCAGAAAGATTTGCAACAATCTCTAAGAGTTGATTCATAGGACTCTGCATCATCACTTGAGAAAGAAGATCCAAATAAAAGAACACGTTACATTGGAGTATTGTTTAAAAATTGACAAATTACCAAGCACCCAAACAGAACAGAAATGAAAAAGCTTTTTTATACAATTCTGTATGATTTTAAGGTTTCTTTATGCTTTTTGGATATGCGGCTCTGAACATAAGCAACTGAATCATGAAGATTCCTTTAGGCAAACCAATCTATACATGTAAATAAAATTGGAGTGTCTGTTTGTAATACTGAAACAACCGTTTTTACTTCATGCATATGAATATAAATACGGTACATACACCGAAATAACATTTTTCCAATTTTTGTCTGTCTGTCTGATTGTTCCGGCTAATCTCTGAAATGGCTGGACCGACTTTGACGGGACTTTTTTTGGCAGGTAGCTGATGTAATAAGGAGTAACTTAGACTAGTTTTATTTTAGAGAAATAAAGTTAAATTCCACGCGGACGAAGTCTTGAACGCGGAAGAAGCTTGTGGTAAAACTAGTTTTGCCCGCGGTTTCGCTCGCGTTAATTTATCCCCTTAGGGGTGGAATTTATCAAAATCCTTTCTTAGGGGATGCCTACGTCATAGTAGCTTTATGCATGCAAAGTCTCAGCCCAATCGGTTTAAAATTGACAAAGTTGCATACAAACTTTCATCCCCTATTTTATCCCCTTGGAGGTAGAATTAATCAAAATCCTTTCTTAGCGGATGACGTCATAACATCTACGTGCATGCCAAATTTCAGCCCGATCCGTCCACTGGTTTGGGCTGTGCGTTGATAGATTACTATGTCAGTCACCTTTGAGTTATATATATTGATATAGATAAACATGTTTAATATGTGGTAAACTAATAGAAGGTGATCTTGGCAGGTGGACACGTGTGAAGACGAGCGTGTGACTCCGGTGACCTTCATCAGCAGTCACGTGAATGTCACTCGAAACAATATCGCCGCACTTAAGGTTAGTTTCAAATTCTTCTTCAACAACTAGTCAACAACAACAACTTCTTGTCAATTCTTCTCATCTCGAAATCATTTCGAACAGACGGTAGCTGAGTGGGAACTGACGCAAATACATAGACACATGTTTTAAATATATAATAATAAGAATAATAATAATCTCAGGACAATTCACACAGCGCCATCTAGACCCAAGTTAAGCTAGCTAAAGCTTGTGTTATGGGTACTAGATAACTGATACAAATACATAGATTTTTTTTTGTAAATATGATAATGATGCCTATGATGATATTCAAAAGTGCTTCTAAAGGGCTCCCTAAAATATGGTCGAGCGCAGTGATGGCTGGCTCATCCGTCATACTCGTGAACGAGTGCTGCTTGTAGGGAGCTGCTGGTCTGCTCTTATCACTACGACTGATTTAATCTTATTGTGTATTTTTATTTAACCGTAATAAATTAGTGCTGGTTGGTAGTTTGTTTTGTACGTTTCGAATTGTAAAATGTGAACTTACAAGGATTATTTAAAAGAGCAACACGCAAGTTTCTTGCTCATTCTTCTTGTGATGAGCTTTCCGGTAGATTGAAAAATGTGATGACTATTCAAAGGTGCTTCAATGTAAGTTTATTTGAATAAATGCTTTTCTATTCTATTCTATTCTTGTTTTTTCAGGTGGCGATTGCTAAACATTCCCCCACCGTGGTGACAGTAGACGGGCTCTGTTACAGCTTCCTCCGGTACACCAGCGGGGTACTACAAGATGAGAGATGGTAAGGCTGCAGTTGTTTGATCTTGGTTTTTTAGGTTAAACATATTGAGGTAAATTGTAAAAGTTGAAGGAAAAGAATAAAAATTTGACGTTACATAAAACTCCAATCAGTTCCTTACAAATGTGTAATACTAGCTGTGCCCGTGGTTTCACTCGCGCGAAATTTATAGCCTATGTGTTATTCTGATATATAAGCTCTATCATTATAAAGCTTCAACAAAATCCATTGAGTAGTTTTTGCGTGAAAGAGTAACAAACATCCGTCCATACGCACAAACTTTCGCGTTTATAATATTAATAAGATAATAATAATAATAATAAACCAGCAAAAGCTGAGAGATTGAGACGATTATAATAATAATAATCTCAGGACAATTCACACAGCGCCATCTAGACCCAAGTTAGACATGTACATAGATATATATATTTGTTTGTAAATAAATACATATTATACATAAAAAATACCCAAAACATAGTGATCTATCAACACACAGCCCAAACCACTGGACGGATCGGACTGAAATTTGGCATGCAGGTAGATGTTATGACGTAGGCATCCGCTAATAAAGGATTTTGATTAATTCTACCCCCAAGGGGATAAAATAGGGGGTGAAAGTTTGTATGAAACTTTGTCAATTTTAAACCAATCGGGCTGAGATTTTGCATGCATAAAGCTACAATGACGTAGGCATCTCCTAAGAAAGGATTTTGGTAAATTCCACCCCTAAGGGGATAAATTAACGCGAGCGAAGCAGCGGGCAAAATTAAGTATTTAAGACCTACACTTTAAAAAAACAACGACCAACTAAATAAATAAAAATGTCTGTTTCAGTTCCAGAACAGCCGAGAATCATGCTGTGACAGCTGTAGGATACGGTCCAAACGGCGTGAATGGTATCTACTTCACTCTCAAGAACTCCTGGGGCACCAGTTTCGGGGAAAACGGGTACATACGTGTCCACGGCACTTCTAATACGGCCGGTGTACTCACCAGACCGTCGTATCCAGTTCTGCGGAGCGAGGATGTGAGACGAATCCCTGAATCAGATGTCGACGATCCTTATCAGGATGAGGTGGGAGGCGGCGTCAAAACGAGATGATTTTATAATGCATTTATTATGTTTGTATGTAGTGGTTACACGATTTTAGTCTTTATAGATAGAATATGTAAGTAGGTTTTAAATTAAACAGGTTGTTAATTAAAGCTACCTTTTTTTATGGATCATAATGGTGGTGCACCCTCCTGTTACGCAGGCGGGGCACCAGTGGAGGATGATAAGATGGGTCAAGTCAGTTAGCCTATCGTAACAAATTCTCTAAGAATTTATTATGATGGTTTCCAGGGGTAACCGCGTGGTCAACCTGACATAGTACGTTGCTAGCAATAAGATCATCAGTCCACATTACTACCAATCCCCTTTCCCCTCAAGCTACCTTATTAATAACTGCCTTTACAGGTGTTCTTTTAACACCTCGAACGTATTAACACAGATCTGTGCACCCCTCTTAAACCTGTCACAGATATGTGCCCACAAAACCATGACTTCTTTTTAACCAATTTAGTCCTTATTTAAAACGAAATAAGATCGAAACGCATTTAAAAAATACAGCTGGCGCGCTGTTACGTCGTGTATTCCCGCGTTCTTGAATCCTGCGTGTGTTCTTGTTTTTGTTTTTTATAAGAATAATTATCATTGCAAAATGGAGACATGACTATAGAGCAAAGACATTAGAATAGTCTTTCTTTAATGAATATTAAGTCTTGGAAAAATGCAGCAACAGCCACTGCAATTTCTGAGAATCATTAGGTCGTTTGCATCTCTTATTATTATTACAGCCTCCAATTCCTCATTTGTTTACTAAGGACTCCTTTTTGAGAAAAGACCTCATCCAATTTCCTGCAACGGTTTCTATAAAATCCGCAGCACTATTTTATTAATCTCGACGTTTGCCTTCCGTACAAAAAACATTTAAGTGTGTCATGGTCATTACACCTTGTTAATTCATAGGTTAATGTTAATGTTATTATAGGAAATTAACTATAGTCATTTATACTCATAAAATGTACAAGAGTGATTTATAGAAATAATGTAAAAAATATTCAAATATAATATGAGTGTGATATGAAAACGTTCATAGATTACCTTTGCCGGCTCTGTTACCAATTGGATAAATAAAAGTATGTTTTTTTTTATTTGGGTATTTTTTATTCCACAGTTAGATTTTAAGGATTTGTTTTTATCCTGTTTGCTCCCTTACTTGTAATTCAATTTATTTGGACGAAATATTGCTATTAAATTATATTTAGTACCCATATAGACGACTTCCCTCGAAATTATAATTATTAAAAAAAAACACATCTATTAATGAAAACCGCACCCAAATCGGTAAAGGCGTTTCTGAGATTAACTCGGACAAACGTACAGACAAACAATCAAAAATTATAAGAATATTGTCTTGGGTTCTATTACTTTGATACAGTCCATCAATAATAGTTTTTCATATATATACAGCTAGTTGAATCAGGAATTTAGATTTACTTCTGTCCTATCAAGCGCTCGCATTTCAAGGATTCGAACCTTAAGAAGCCACTGAAACACTTGGACCAGTTATGGCAGGTAGTCGTCGCTATGCCATGCGCTGTAGTTCAATAGCAACTTGTTCGCCAGCGCGGCGAGCCTCAGATTCGTTTCTCCTCTCAGGAAGAGCATTACGCAGCTTCTCCCAGAAGTAAGAGTTTCCCCATTTTACGTAAGTGTTGGTCGTTAAGTAAGCCTTAATTTCCTTATCCAAGTTCTGATGATCCCCAACATCTTCTAGCAGCACTATAATGACACGTGAGCGACTTTCTCGCTTTGCTCTCTTATGTGCTGTTCGGAAATCCAAACGACCCCAAACTGATTCCAGGAAATTACAAGACAGGAGAAAGATAGTCCGTCGTGATTCTTCGACGGAGAGCGCCACCTGAACTGGTATCCACTCCCCGATCACCCATTCTTGGGTGTGAATGCATAGTTTAAATCCATACTCCTGACTCTCTAGTTTGGGTACCAGGTGTTCATGGACAAAATACTCATCGGCCTGAGAGTATGATACGAAGGCATCATACTTCTTGTCGCGATCTAGATTGTATTCACGGACCCAAAATAGACATCCATGTGCGTACAGAAATATCTTCACAGTTTGCTGGTGACGTGGATAACCATCAGAGAGAGAGACAAAAATTGTAAAAAAAAAAAATTTCTTTTGGTGACTCGCTGACACGCCACTAAAGAACTGTTTACATTTTACCCCGGTTTTATATTTCAACATTTTTCGTAATAGCTAATATATAATATTGAGTATTAAAAGACTATAGAATATACAAATAATACGTGTAGTGTCTTTAAAATTTATCATAATCAGACAAATCAATCGAACTGTTAATTTTATATTCTAATTCATATCCTTTACCAGATATTATATATCATAGATGAACAAGAATATTGTACGTGCAAATAATTTATGCATAATATAGCAGGTTATCTGTCAGAAACCGATGTTTAAAAACTTGTTTGCATCATAATACGACGTTCGCAATTCGCATGTGATGCTGGTACGTTGTGTAATGACTTTATTTTAGTGTATTATAACACACAATTACACTGTTGGGACGATAAGACATAAAAAAATATAATTAGTGTGGTACGTAGCCACAAAGCCAGTTTTCCTTATACAAGGTGCATTGGTCAGAATATTGGATAAAATTATAAAAGTAAGAATTACCTGTACTTAATAAAACATACCATCACATCGTTCGCCCGTTAAAATTAGGCATCTCTATTGAAGGTGTTTTAACTGATTTATTATCAGAGTGGTTGTTGCGTAATTATGTGGTTATAACGCGACACGCTTCAGTGAATACCAGGTATGTCATTATTATGATATTAAGAATTATATATATATATAGTTTTTATTCATTATTTGTTTTGGAATACAGTAGTATTGCACCTATTATCATGAGCGTCGTACCAAGTCACCGGTGTCTCTGAACTCTAATGAACCCTATGTCGCGTATTATAGCCATCATCTGACTTGAATTGTAAGCATTGAAATTACAGAGTATACACTATAAAGGTAGGATACTGAAGTCCTTCGAAATAAAAATGTATGTGGAACATCGCAACGAGCGTCGCAAATATATGTATATTAATGTCCATAACACTATTCGTGTCTATAAGAGGCGATTCCAATCATCATCATCATTGTTTGCAGATATTCAACTTTATTTTGCTGGTTAATATAGAAATATATTTATTTTGGCAGTAATAGGAAATTTTATTAGCAAAGAAAAATAGTAACCAAATTCAATAATGTTTTTCTAGACAAAATCATCAACTACAAATGGTCTTAATCACTACTATTGTGATTTTTAGCGTCGTCGTATTCTGACCTGCTCTTGTAAATACAGGACGGTCTTATCATGGGTTGAGCATAAGTTGGACATAACTTTACCTCATGTGGATCCCGGCCGTGTGCGGTGAGTTCCTATCCTCATATGACTAATTGCTAGAAAATGATATATTTTTTGCGAAACAAATGCTATTGATGGAAAAACAACCTTAACTAATATATTTTTTAGGTATAACACAGTAAACTAGTTTTCCAAGGTGCTAGTATCGCGTTAGAATATGGTACAAGGCTATTTGGAATTAAGTAAATACCTTGGAATCTATGTTGAAATCGCATTTCTGTTGTACAGCGGCTAATGTAAATATATAAAGATTTTGCAAACCACGGATATCACGTCATCACGTGACGATTGTGTAACTTCTGATGCGTTACCATTCCGACGAAACTAGGTCCCTTAATTCTTTTAAACTGTAACTCCATTATAGTTGCTTGCGGCAGAAATTGTGAGGACAAAGATTTCCACAATTACGGTTTTGTCTTATTCTTCGATTCAATGGCAAGTAAATGTTTTTACCCCAGAAATTTGCGAGGACTTTAAGGATTTCGGTGGCATTCTTCTCTTCTCTTCGTAGGCTCTCTCTTTTTACGTCAATATGATGGACTAAGATAATGTCTTATATATCATAAATGTATATGTGTGTGTATAATAACTATGAATTAGATAAACACGCACGTCTATAATAGTCTTCTTCTTAATGAACAATGAGGACTGTCCGAAAACCTGCGCTGTATAGGTGCAGCTCATTGAGGTTGGGCTTATATCAGCAACAGCTGAAATAGCTCCTATTGCCAAATTTGTATGTTTTTTTCTTATTAAGTGTATTCTTTGTAACTTAGTAATGTTGGCAATAAATGTTTTATCTAAGATGCCTGCATTGTATCCTGTAATTTCATAGCCGTATCTTTTTTTCAGCCGAAACACAGCTTACAAAGCAATCTGCTGGGCGCCTTAATTTGAGGAACTCATGCAAAACTATTTAGATAGTCTACTTTAGTTAGGTAATATTGATTATATGCTATGCTTCAGCGGTTTACTTGCTCCACATACTGTGTGACGCACAGAGCAAGTTACCGAAGTTGGCCCATCATAACTTTACCCACGTGCTGTCCGATAGCTGGACACAGTGCCCCCAGCATGCCACTAACTGCACCGCCACATACTGGGATGGTATCTACTCCATTACATATGATATTGACGGTAAGTTATGTATTGGATTATTTATTTTTAAGTTAGGCTTACCAATATACATTAGTGAAATCTACACCCAAATTTAAATTTAGTTTGAATCGTTCTTGACATTTTAAGATTTCATAAGAATCCTCTCCTGTTAATGACAAACAAACAAACACAAAACAATAAAAGAATTTCCAAAAGAGGTCCAGCCGTTCATGCGATACCAGAACCAAGGGAAATAGGGATACATTTTACTTTTGTCTAATCAGTTACAATCTTTAAAAATATGATATAGCGTTAAAATCTCTTGTCTGATTATTGCAGGTAAAAATGTTACAATTTTGTATGAAAACACAGATACCTTCAACTTCCGTTGTACCTCTGCATTGAGTCAGGATATTCTATCTAGTCACAACTTACCGGGTATAAGAAGAAAAACGAACGTTATGATTGTAAAGATATCATTCTGTGAACCACCGCATGACTCGTACTGGAATGTCTTCGAGCAATTTAACATTAGCGGCATCCAATCGCTGATGTTAGACCTGCCCGAAACAGCGTCATCTTTCACTCGTAACCATTTCGTAGGCCTGGTCAACATTACTTCTCTTAAAATAATAAAATCTTCTCCGACCGCGTTGACCTATTTCTCTGACGGCTGTTTAACACCGCTCACAAAATTGGATGTGTTATATATAGATGGTAATGTATCGCTGCCGATACTTCCTCCGGAGAATCAAATCCAAAAAGTATTTATTAGACATGGACAGAGCCGCGGGGAATTAGGTGAGTGCTCTCACTTGTTGGAGTTGACTGTGAGTGTATGGACGTGGAGTACGACATCGAAAACTCCACCACCACGCTGGCTCGCCGGCTGTCACAAGTTACAGTCTCTGGTACTTATTAACATAATGATGGATTTATGGCCACAAGATGGGGTCAGTACGACCCTCGCCGGTCTGACCGCGCTGCGGACGCTTACAATCTCCAATTGTAACCTGAAAAGTATATCTCCAGGTTTTCTTGACGACGCAATCAATTTGGTCAGCTTGGATCTCTCTAAGAATGAGTTGCTAAAATTACCCAGGTACATACATATAGTTTTAATTGCACCTTAGTTTTAATATTATATACCACAGTGATAGAAGATAGATTGTTCGTATCTTTACTAGAATACCTGATACTCTCTCAGGCTCAGGCTGAGTTATGGTGTACACCTTGTCAAAAGTCACCTCCGGCTCAGTCTCACCTCTTTCAGTCAGTTACGTTAAGTTTTGTAAGCTGGGTTTTAATTGTAGACGACTCACTAGTTGGTAAGCGTTAACTGTCGTCTTAATATATAAAGAGACAGATATCACTACACTACACCCGTGATTCCACTCATCGTTTGTCATTCCAGAGAACCAATAAATTGCTTCTTATCCTATAATTCCACTGCCTAATCGCAACTAACACCGACCACAGCAATGTACCTGTCCTATCTACATTACGCCACCAAGGAGCAGGGCATTGTCGACTACATACGGACCAGAACCTGACATGGAGGGTGACGCAGCTAGAGGCGAGTCGTAACGCGATTTTCAATGCGTTAGCGTCCTGGGTCCCAACTAATATGCTGCCCAACTGCCCACCTTCATGAAGAAGGACTACTAACCGAAGGGGGTGGTGTATCCGCGCTACCGGGGCAGATTGCCGTCGTCACTGCCGTGACAATAATCTCTTTGGCGACAGAAATAGGTGAGACTGGGGTACCCATGCAGAAGAATTTTTAACAACTGGTGCATCTTTTACTGTTTAAAATTAGGGACTAAGACAGACTATATGAGAGCAAGAGTATAATTTATGGGTTATGATCTAGTAAGGATAACGCCTGCTCTAACGTTCTAGCGTTGATGGGTAAAATTAACTGAAAATAACATATAACTGATATTTCAGTGGTGCGTTACTGCCAGTTGCGTCGACTCTACATACATTGATGCTGCAAGACAACCCCAGTCTCTCTGGTTTCTGTAGCAATGATGATGATTATGATAGTGATGATGATGACTATGATGATGCTGCCGACGACAGTGAGTACGTTTTTTTAATTTTTTTATGTCATTGAAATTTGCGTCGTTCTACTTTGTTGAAAAATAGCAAAGGTTCTGATGACCTACCAGATGGTAACTGGCAACCGTCGCCAATATATATGTATAGCAGCAAGGACCTCGTGTCATCATGCAACGCCCATGGTACACTCATGCTGTGCCGTTCCGATGTGTTAAGATGTCATGTCTCGATACAGACGACACGACATTTTACAAAGCACGTTGCTTGGCGAATGTAACAGGAGACTTGTCCATTCAAATAAATTTGTACATAGTTTCGCTCAGTATACACACTAGTGAACTCAAAATCATTATTCACTCATATTCATTATTCAGAAGAACTTTCAGCCTCTTGCGCACATCATGAGTGGTGCAGACCGGTACACCATTCCCTTATTTTTTATATGGATGAGAATGGAATGGTGCATCCACCTGCGCTAACGGTTTACGCTGGCAATGCACCAGTGGAAGATAACTAGATGAGCATGAGGTCAGGTCAGTTAGCCCATCGTGACAAATCTACCAGGAATTTATCACGATTGTTTCCAGGGGTAATCGCGTAGAGCCTGACATGGTACATTGCTAGCAATAAGATTATCAGTCCACATTCCTAACAATCCCCTTTCCCCTACACCAATTCATTATACCATTAAAAAGCAACCAAAAATTTCAATGTGTAGCGTCAGGGTTGCTCTCACTGCATTCTCTACGGGAGCTGTCGCTGGGGCACACCGGCGTTAGGCGCATCTGCCCGAGCTGGTCGCGCCACCTGCCATCATATTATTATTTTTTTTTAAACTTTTCATTTTAGGTTCTTAGTGCAATTAGCCTCACACTCATCAAGAATTCAAATTTTGATGACTACTACAGGTAAAATACACAATTGTATTTCGGTTAAAATTTAACCTCAACTAGAACATCAATTATGAAAGGTGTATGTGTGTATGTGTGTGTGTTAATATTTATAACTAGCTGTATCCGCGACTTCGTCCTCCTGGAATATAACTTTATTTTTCTAAAATAAAAGTAGCCTAAGTTACTCCTTATTATTTCAGCTACCTGCCAAAAAAAGTCCCATCAAAATCGGTCCAGCCTTTTCAGAGATTAGCCGGAAGAAACAGACAGACAGATAAAAATTTTAATTTTGGTGTATGTTGTAGTAATGTAGTTTGGTGTAATATGTAGTAGTACAAAACAGTTATTTCAATATTACAAATAGACACTCCAATTTTATTTATATGTATAGATTGTTGCTGTTTTTCTTAAATACCTGTACGTAACTGGAAAAATCGCAATTGTTACCTAGTGAACCTACACGGAGATGACGAAGTCATTTGTCACCCTTCTTAATTTACCATTCCTGACAACTTAGATGGTCAGGAAGACAACTGCATGACGGCTGATTTAAAATAAACTTTTTGTAAATCTAAATATATATAACTCAAAGGTGACTGACATAGTGATCTATCAACGCACAGCCCAAACTACTGGACGGATCGGACTGAAATTAGGTATGCAGGTAGATGTTATGACGTAGGCATCCGCTAAAAAAGAATTTTGATTAATTCTACCCTCAAGGGGATAAAATAGGGGATGAAAGTTTGTATGAAACTTTGTCAATTTTAAACCGATCACGCTGAGACTTTGCATGCATAAAGCTTCTATGACGTAAGCATCCCTTAAGAAAGTAGAAAGTATTTTGATAAATTCCACCCCTAAGGGGATAAACTAACGCGAGCGAAGCCGCGGGCAAAAGCTAGTACATACATAATATACATAAAAAACCGCAACCAGCAAAAATGTTAGTACCATGTGTTCTCGTAAGTTGCTAGATCACCGTGGCCGTTAAATTGTAAGATACTATACATATAAAAATGTAAAAATGTAAATTAAATTTTAAAAATTATTTTCAGTATACCAAATAAACAATTTTCTATACATATACAGTCTGATGTCTCTTCTTGTTTCAGTTCCGCGATATCAAGTGGCTGGGTGCTCGGACCTCCGCGCTCGAGATGTGGGCCAATAGAGTAGACAGTATCATGTACACCATGAATGATTACTTGGAGGTGACACGTGATAACTGCACAAAGGTAGATTCACTTCTCATGAGCTCAAGTTTTCCAATTTTTACTAGTGGTCGCCCAATATGGTCACTCTATTCTCCCAAATTTGAATTTTAATGACTGTATATTATTATAAACATGTTCCACTATTATTTGAAAAAATACGAGCTGAGTTTCTTTTCAGTTTTTCTCATCTCGATATCATTCCGAACTGACGGTAGATTTGACATATCATAAGAGTCTGTAATAGACCTACATGAATAAAGATATTTTGAATTTGAAATTTGAATTTTGAATGTGAAAAAATAGTCAAAATTCGACCATAATTAATTTATATTATACTAACGGTGCTCGTAGTTTCAAAAATATAGCCTATGTGTTATTCTGATGCATAAGCTATATTACTGTAAAGTTTTATCAAAATCCGTTGAGTAGTTTTTGCGTGAAAGAGTACCAAACATCCATACTCACAAACTTTCGCGTTTATAATAGTAATAAGAAATATGAACATTAAGGTTCTATTGTTATATATTTGACGACCTCGGTGGTCTAGCGGTCTAGCACAGCGCTTTACGTCCGATGGTCGCGGGTTCGATTCCTCGCACGGCACAAATTTTTGTATTCATGAGTATGATTGTTTGTATCGGTCTGTGTGTTTTCTATGTATAATATGTATGTATTTGCGAAAAAAAATTATCAGTTATCTAGTACCCGTAACACAAGCTTTAGCTAGCTTAACTTGGGACTAGATGGCGCTGTGTGAATTGTCCTGAGATTATTATTATATGTGTGTGTCTTTCAAATACATGGTATGTAATGTATTTTTATTTAATGTATTTTTTATGCATAATTAAAAAAAGTACTATTCTGCTGTTGTATATGAACTGTAAGTGTGCGAATTTCTCATACTCCTACGTCCGCGGAATTTTCTTAAAAATGGGTATAAAATTTTGTTTCACGTATTAATATAACGATTTTTCAACTAGCTAACTCCATAAATGCTGTTTTGCCATATAAATTAATAACGCTATTAAAAATAGGGGTTGGTGATAGATGGCTGAAAATATACCAAATAACTTTAAAAAATCTTTAAAAATATAAAATATGTTCAATAAAAAATTGGGTGCTATAATAGGTTCTCATCAATTTTATGCCCCTAAGTCATAATGGTCTTACCACGTAAGGCTATAAAAAATAGATAACAACTTATTCTCGGACCTATCTAGTATAGAATTTCATCAAAATGTGTTAACCCGTTTCAGGAAAGTAGGCAACAAACGCTATGACATGAGAATTAAGAATTCTTGATCTCTAATATTTCTGAGATTAGCCAATTTCGTTTCGCCATTGTATCTGTTAGAGTTCACATCAATATTGTAGAAAAATTCGATATTTTAATATGATATGAATGTAGTTTGTAAAGATTATTACAAATATTGTAAATAATAAGTTAGCGCCATTCCGATAGATCCCCCGTACAATTCAAACGGGGATCGAGCCGTGTTTCGAACCCCTAGTGGTGCCCTCAGACTAAAGTCGTATCCATCAGGTAGGAGTTGGCCTTCAGCCGCTCCATAAGTCCTTCCTTTGGTTTGGAGTGCCATCTGCACTCGCCTCCTATCGTCCGGTGAAGCTGTAAAGGCCAGCTGCGGACAACAGCATTAGAGTAGTTCGGAAAAAAAAGTAATTGAATAATCCTCTTTCGTTGGGTGAGGCACGGCATTCAGTCGACGAGCGCGAGAGTAGGAATGGGTTTATCCCGGTCTTAGTTGGGCCTGGGGGGAAGCTGCAAGTAGTGAAGGTGAATGTTAATTCATTCTAAAAGGGCCCTTTAAACCTACACCCGTGTCACAAGTCACGGGCGCTATTTGGGGTTTCCCTTCCGGTAGCCGACTTCAAAGCCTAGTCATCTTAATTAGCGCTTCTGACATAACCAACAAATCTTATCCGCAGTTCAACGTGTCAATTGGGATCAGCAAGCAGATCATATGTGACTGTCACTCGTACTGGTTCGCGCGGACCCTGGCTGAGTGCCCCGAGCACGTGACGTGGATGATAGCGCTGCGTTGTAGCACGGGCGAGCACGTGGCCGACGTGTCACTGAAATCGATGCTGTGCTCGCGGCACGCGGACGAGTGCGCGCCCGACTGCGAGTGCTACTGGAGGGAGCGCCGGAACGCCACCATCGCCAATTGCTCCAGCGTCGTCGACGGTCGGATACCACTCATCCCGCACTTGTACGAGCTGAACGCATCTTCCAGTAGAATCGATGACCTTAGCAAATTGCCCAGCACATTGATTGTATGTAGTGAACTTTTTAATATATATAATAATAGTTTGATTTATTTTGAACTAGCTGTACTCGTACCTGCGACTTCGTCCGCATGAAAAGTAACTTTATTTTCTAAAAAAAAAGATTTTTTCTAAAATAACAGTAGCCTAAGTTCTCCTTATTACCTCCTTATAACCTGCCAATAAAAGTTCCGTCAAAATCGGTTCAGCTATTTCAGAGATTAGACGAAATAAACAGACAAAAATTGTAATAAATGTTATTTTGGTGTATTTATATGCATGTAGTAAAAAACCGTTATTTTAATGTTACAAACAGACACTCCAATTTCATTTATATGTTTAACAACTAATCAATGAGAATACCTAAGTAGATGTATATTCCTTACCCGTATATCTTAATCTCTATGAATAATTAAAATGGGGAATTCATTCTTTTAATTGTTCACCTTATTCTTCTTCTATCACTTATCTAGTATCCATAACAGAAGCTTTAATATTGTATTTGGAAGTAGAGCCTAGTAACTATATAGGCATTTCATCGGCAGTACGCAGATCTGCGATACAACCAGTTGCCCCGCATGTCTGAGGAGGCCGCCGAGGAATTGTTCTCGGTGCCGGAAAGAAGACTACGTTTCGCTGGTAACCCAATAGTCTGCGACTGCGGTAATAGCCCTTTTATAGAAGCACTGCAACAGCATCGAAATCAGGTGATTTTTTTTTGTATTTGGTACAATACAAACAGGATGGTACGCGGAAACGTAGCCTATATACATGAACAGCTTCAGAGACTTCACGACATCCGTGTACCATGCATTCGAAGTCTACGCATTTGATTTTACAAAGTCTAACTCGGTACCTCTATTTTTTTAATTGGAATGGTAAACCAGCTGATGATGAACTCTGACGATGATGAATCACCATCCCTACGATGGTGATCAAAAATCTGACATGCATAAGAAGCGTAAAGATCGTTTTTTATACTACGACGGTGGTAAACAAGTATAAAGTATAGCTGATGGTTACCGTAGCCTATGGACGCCTGAAACACCAGGGGTATAATGATGGGACACTTCAAATTTGATCACTATCAATACGATGGTGAGGAAAAATCTGACGTGCACAAGAGGCGTAAAGGTCGTTTTTTATACTACGATGGTGGCAAACGAGTATATGGTATAGCTGATGGTTACCGTAGCCTATGGACGCCTGAAACATCAGTGGTATCAGGTATAGGGTATCTGGGCGTTGCAGACCGTTACGAAACTTACATTATATTATTGTATTACAGGTGCTGGATTATGATGAGTTGACGTGCATAGATGACAGAATAATAGACAGCATAGTGATCGAAGAGTTGTGCGCGCTGAGTTCGACTCTTATCTTGGTGTATGGCCTAACTCCGGTGGTCGTGCTGCTATTGTTCATATTGCTCGTGTTTGGGGTGTTTTCGCGACACCAAGAGACTGTAAAGATATACCTTTACGCACGCCGTTGGTGTCTGTGCTGTATTCGAGAACATCATATCGACCAACATAAGGAGTATGACGCATTCGTGTCATACTCGCACGCCGACGAGCAGTTCGTCTACGAACATCTAATTCCGCAGCTTGAAGGCGAACCACACTGCTTCAGATTGTGCGTCCACACTAGAGACTGGGTGATAGGCGAGTGGATACCCGTACAGATAGCCCACTCGGTCGACGAGTCTCGTCGAACTATTATTCTGCTATCGCAAAACTTCTTGGAATCTGTATGGGGCCGTCTCGAGTTTCGCACCGCACATAAAAGGGCGATGAGTGAGGGTCTATCCCGTGTTATAGTCGTTTTGCTCGAAGATGTCGGTGATCATCCCAATTTGGACAAGGAGCTGAAAGCATATCTCACCACGAATACTTACGTTAAGTGGGGAGATCCTCATTTCTGGGAGAAGTTGCGAAGTGCACTTCCTCAGCGAAGAAATGAGCGTGAAGCACGTCGTGCCGGCGAGGAGGTCGCCCTTGAGCTGCTGCGGATGGAAGAGCGACGCCCTCCAGCTATATGTGCTCCTCCTGCTTCGTCTAATACTTAATGAACTAAGCAAAATCAGATCTAAGTACAGTAATAGTACGTCTTAAGAAATAGTTAAATTATTTGATTAAAATGAAAAGCGGTGAAACAGAAATACGAGTCTGTTTAATATTTATTTATTCAGTAACAATTTATAGTGTGTTTGAAATTATAAAATTTTTGCTGCTAAGAAATTCATCAACACTGTAAAATGATTGCTCCAACAGAAAACAACGCAACCTCCTCCTAAAAAGCTTTCAATTATCTATTTTCTTTAAACTATTGGCCAAAGAATTATAAAGACTTACTGCTTGGAAACCCCCACCATGCTTCACAATATTAAGGTTTGGTTTTATAATGTTAGGGTAATCCATTCTGCGAGTACTTTCCCTTATGTCTATGTATATGTTTACGTAAAATATTTTACATAATCTATATTATGAATGACTGATAAATCTAGTACTAGTTAGTATTTATTCTAATAAGTGATCGAATAACTCTAATAAGTGTAAGAAGCATTTGTATTTAAATTACTTCTGATTATTTTAATTCATAATAAAGAAAATAAAGACATTTTTTATAACACAGGAGACGTTGTTTTATAAACAATTGAAAGGGAAATTTCAAGTACGTTGTCGGCGGACAACGGAATTTTTAAAAAGAAATAAGCTTTGTCTTGAAGGTTTAATCGTATCGGTTCGGAAATACCATTGGAAGGTGATTCCACAATGTGGTTGTGCGTGGCAAAAATAATGCTAACCTTAATGTGGGAATTTGAAGAGACTAAAAATTACATTTACCTCTTTGGTAGTATAATTATTTTACTTTTTGTATGCTGTCAAATACATTGTTGTTTAATTAAGTAGTAAAACGCTTCTATGCACAGTGACATAGGCAAACACACAATCAGAAAATATTATAAAACACTTTATTTCCTACCGCAAGCATATACAGTCATTTTTCTAAAAATGTAATTGTTATTTTATCAACTGAGCATTTTTATCTGGCTAAGATATAATGAAAAATATACATTACGTTACAAAATTAATCAATTTTACGGTGGGGAAGACATGTCTTATTAACTAGTACATTATTAATGCTAAATCAATTAAAGTTATCAAAAAAATCAGTTCGAAATTTCTTCTGCAACTATCGCCGGTGCAGCTTCGATGCATAACATCTGCGGGGCCGGCAGTGCAGCGGTTGGAACCACGGTCCGCCCAGGGTCCTCATTCCTGATAGCCGTTTGCGACATTATGTGAAACAGGTCCCGTGCCACCTCTTCACCAGCTCTACGAGCCCTCATCTCACCACGTCGGTGAGGCAGAGCGTACCTCAGCTTATCCCAAAAGTATGGATCACCCCACTTCACATATGTATTCGAGGCGAGATACGCTTTTAACTCTCCATCCAATTCTTCGTGATCTTGTACCTCCTCTAGCAAAATTATGATAACCCGGGCCCGTCCCTCCTGCATGGCGTTTATGTGTGCCGTTCGGAACTCTAGCCGGCCCCATACTGAGCTAAGAAAGCTGCGGGACAGCACTATAATAGTTCGCCGCGATTGCTCCACCGAAGCTGCGATCTGCGTCGGAATCCACTCACCGAGCACCCAGTCGCGGGAGTGGATGCACAGCTTGAAGCCGTACGGTTCTCGTTCAAGCTCCACAGCCAGGATCTGGTGAACGAACTGTTTGTCGTCGTGTGAGAACGAAACGAACGCGTCAAACACCTTGTCACGGTCCAATTCATCTTCCCGCACCCAACACATGCAGACGCCACGTGCGTACAGCTGTACCTTTAATTCATGTCGGTAATAGTAACAAAGGCCGGACGTCACTAACAATGCTATAAGAAACACCACTACTGGGGCAAGGCTGTACAGCAGGAGTGCAGGTGGAGGCAACGCGCACAGATCTTCTATATTGACGGATGTCAGCGGGGTCTCGTCAAGGCAAGTCGTCAAATTGTAGTCCAAAACCTATGTCAATAATAAATGTGATATGTATGTATAAGTAATCATTGAAATACAGTCAGCCAGGACTAGTACCTGTGAATTTTGTTAATATTACAGTAGTTATTTGTTTTAATAGCGTTAACAAATATATAATCAATCCTGTTATCCCAGATGAAGTATTTTTAAAGGAGTTTGTTTAAAGGAGGTTATTATTCGGTGCTAAAAAGACTTATAGGACAGCAGCCTGGATAGACTTATTGTTATTACTCTTTTTTAGAGTTCGCCACCTAGGCCCCTCAGGGACAAGCATTGAAGGCTATTTTTAAGACCGTTAGTAGTTATCTCCTTAATATAAAGCGTATTAAATATCGATGTTGTTCTGAAAGCAATTAAGTGTTGCTTTCAAAGTATTTTAATCCAACCTGGCAGGGGACGAGCCCACCGTCGTCTCTCAAATTTTTGGAGCCATATAATCCGGAGTTTCCTTGACCGGAGTGTCAATCATCAATTTCAGTTACCGCACACATTTTTGGTGACAACCAGATTTAGCATCACGACTTCTTAAATAATTTCGGTTAGTCAAGTACGGAAATAGAATACAGGAAAAAGAATAACATTGTCATCGTGATGTACCTGGTTTTGATGCTCATTTAAAGCATCAAGAAGTGGTCTGTTGTCGCAGTCACAGAGCAGTAAGTTACCGGCGAACATCACCCGCCGTTCGCTAACGGAGAACAGCACGCGTGCCGCCTCCGCAGATATGTGCGAGATGCTGTTGTACTTCAGATCTGCAAACTGTCATAATATAGACAGATATAACTTTAATTTGCATTAAAGGAGGAACAAAAGAAAGAAAAAAATACAATAAAGGACACACGCAAAGCAGAGTAATATAATGAAAAGAGTAAATATATACATTGGTCAGTTAACAAAATACAATACAATATAGGTAACCTTAGATACCTCATAACAATGTAACTTCACTGCTTATGAGAAAGAATTAAAGTATGTTGGCCTCAAGATTCTTTACGGTGTGGGTTTGATTTGAATTGGCGAAGATGAGGTTCCAATACCTCATCTACAAGACGAACACGCAAATCAATCCGAGAAAGATTCTAAAGGCATAATAGCAGTATATTTAAACTACTAAACAGCTACGTGATCACAATAATTGGTTCAATAAATAAAACAATATTTACATATACAGTACTGATGGTTTGAGTATTCTTTTCAGAATTGAATGGATCAGTACAGGACATTACAGGACAGGACAAGACAGATCAGGACAGATCAACAGTACAGTACAGAACAACAAAACAAACATTCCGTTTGACCAAATATCAGAAAATCCTTTTAAAATGATCATCTATCGTTAAAAGTGGAAAATGTTAATTACATTATTACGCATTTCGTCTAAATATACACCTACACAACTAAAAGACACTCTGAAGAGTGTCTTTTAGTTATTAAAACACGAATGAATGAGACAGCATGGGGTTCTTCAAGAAGGGTTCTTAACCCTATGGACGCTGAAACACCCCGGTGTTTCTAGGCGGTTATAGGCTTCGGTAAACATTTACCATTAGATGAGCCGCATTCTTGTTTGCAACTATTGTAATAAATAAAATATATAGGCCAGATTCTTAAACTAAAAATATATCAACTTACAATGAGTGAATCAGGTATATCCGTGCTATTGATCTCATTAATACGGTTTGATGCTGCATATAGATGGCTCATCCGCGGGATTTTAGGTATCCGATCTAAGGTGGAGTCTGTGCAGTTAGCTATAGTGGCTTCAACATCCTCCCTAGAGAAGCACTCGCAGCCGGCTGAACAGTTCGCACCGTACCGTTCGCATATCATCCCCTCGGGTGGAGTTTCTGATACTCGTTTTTCAGAAGTACATTTAGGTGTGTCCCGCCATAGTACGTGGTTGGGACAGGCGGTCTGGGACTTCGCAAACCAGTATGTACGGCAGTCGCAAATGAGTCGTTCACTGATACTTACTGTAACATTGTTCTAAAAACAAATTCCAATTCAAAATATCTTTATTCATGTAGGTCTATTACAGACTCTTATGGTATGTCAAATCAGTCAGTTCGGAATGATTTCGAAATGAGAAGAACTAACAAGAAACTCAGTTCGTATTCTTTTCGTATAAATGTTATACATGTTTACAATAATACATATTCAATTTTAAATTCAAATTTGGCAGAACAGAGTGACCACCAGCATATGCAATGCAAAAGCAAAAAGTCTAAACAGTGCTCGTAACCTGAACAGACCTGTCCCCACAAGCAGCACTCGTTCACGAGAATGACGGACAAATAATCTATAATCAATCTATACAAATAAATAAAACTGAATTATCTGTAAATTATCAAATCAAAATATCTTTATACATGTAGGTCTGTCACAGACTCTTATGCTGTCAAATCTACCGTCAGTTCGGAATGCTTTCGAGATGAGAAGAACTGACAAGAAACTCAGCTCGTATTCATTTCAAATATGGCTGTAAAATTAATAGAAATTCAAGTAAATTCACTAATAAAAATTCCCACGGACCAAGTCTGCTAGTGTAAAATGTAATTTGTATTTTAAAAAATTATGTTTGAACGTTACCTGCGTACAGTTGTCTTTAAGTAGATGTTCATAGTTAGATCTACTGTACATGATTGTTTTCACTTTGTTGTTCTTTAAGAGCAGTTCAGAATGCCGGGAGCCCATCCACTGTATAACTTCATACTGTAATACGTCATATAATAATTACGATTGGCCGCCCATTGGCGTCTTTCTCTTGCTCATTGTTGTGTATTTTACATTTCCACCGCTTTACGTCCGATGGTCGCGGGTTCGATTTCTCGGACGCCATAAACATTTGTATGCATCAGTATGATTGTTTTTAACGGTCTGGGTGTTTTCTATGTATGTATTTATGAAAAATCTATGTATTTATATCAGTTATCTAGTACCCATAACACAGGCCTTAGCTACTGGGATACCGCAGTTAGTCTATAAAATTACTTTTTCGCTAACGACTTATTATACTATCACTAGTAATGGCAAAATGTTATTATATTTATTTTATTTATACGCTTTATTGCACCAATTACAGAATAAAAAACAATTTAAACAGAAAATATACATTAATTTACACAGAAGGCGATCTTATCGTTAAACAACCTTTTCCAGACTACCCTTGGGTGGATAGAGAAATAAAAATAAGAAAAAAATATACTTACTTGTAAAACACTGATAGAGTTATAGGAGAGATCGAGGTATGTCAGGGAGGGTAATATGACAGGCCAGTTTGCGCAGATCTTCATAGCGCCGGTACCCAACAGTGACAACCGTTGTAGTGCTGGTAAATGTAGATCCAGTACCACTGCGAGCATAACAACATGTACATGAACACCTCTTAGAGGGATATTCAGAAATATGACTATAACGTAATTCGAAGGAAGGGTATTGTTAGCAATGTGGACTAATAACCATAGCTACGGGTAGTGATGTACCATCAGGTTGATCTACACTTGGTACCCCCTCGAAACCATCGTGATAAGTTCTTGGTGAATTTACCTCGTTGGGCTAACGTGACCTTATGCTCATCTTATCATCCTCCACTGGTGCCCTGCCAGTGTAAACCGTTAGCGCAGGCGGAAGCACCATTCCATTATCATCAATAAGAAAAATTACACTGTAAGATTTGTAAGATATTATCCTATCCTATTAGATTATCCTGCGGAAACCTGACAACTGCTACCAGAAGCATTACGACCTTCAGCACTACTGATGAAATACCAACGGTTTTTGGATCTACACCCATATTGCGACACGTGTTTCGCCTCTAAACAAGTCACCATCAAGCAATGAATAGAGTTTGAATGCCCAGTGTTGCATTGAGCAAGTTAGTATATTTTGAACCCGCGACCATCGGAAATAAAGCGGGGTGCTGAACCTCTAAACTACCGAGGCCGTCGCGTAGCCTTGATAAATTCTGGAAGAATCTATTGACAGAGATAACAAACCCCTCCCGGTTGAATTGCCATTGTCATCAAGCACACTCGTGTTTACTTCACACAGATCTCCCAGCGGGTTTGCATCTAGCGCCAGATATTGTAACGTCGCTGCTACAGATGTAAATATATTGCTGCAAAATATAATTATAATTACAATTATAAATGTAAGATGCGAAGAAAAGATAGACAAATAAATTCTTTATTCATCGATTACAAACACATCATTACATAGTATACAACAAACTCGCTGTCGCTGTCTGTCCGTCCCTATGTATGGTTAAATCTTTAAAACTACGCAACGGATTTTGAAGCGGTTTTTTTTAATAAATGGAGTGATTCAAGAGGAAGGTTTATATGTATAATACATGTACACCCGAGCGAAGCCGAGGCGAGTAGCTGGTAACATATTTGAGGTACATAAAAACAAATCTTATTATTATTATAAACGCGAAAGTTTGTGAGTATGGATGGATGTTTGTTACTCTTTCATACAAACAAAGTTTCATCCTCTATTTTACCCCTTTGTGGGTAGAATTAATCAAAATCCTTTCTTAGCGGATGCCTACGTCATAACATCTACCTGCATGCCAAATTTCAGTCCGATCCGTCCAGTGGTTTGGGCTGTGCGTTGATAGATCATTACGTCAGTCACCTTTGAGTTATATATATTTAGATAATGAGGTATATAGGAACATACACAACTGCACATGAATGAGATGAAAATGCTGAGATGGTCTGGTGGTGTGACATGCTTGGATAAAGTCCGCAACAAGAACATTAGAGGTTCCTTCAGAGTAGCTCGTATCGTGGAAAAAATGAGAGAAAGTCGCTTATGCCGGTATGACCACATTTATAAACGCGAAGACGACTACGTGGTAAAAAAAGTGCTCAAGATACCAAACATTACCAGAGGTATGGGAAGGCCATGCGCCACTTCACAATAATATTAAGAAGCAGATGGACCAGGACAACCTTCATATACAGACCCATAAAAGTTCTCTGGCGCAGTTGTACAGGGAGACCCAACCCCAGATAAACTGGGAATATGGGTTGGACAAAGAAGAAGAAGATATAACGGATACAATTTTCAGAAGAGAAGCTACAGCATCTCCCAAAGGGGCCTTTCCTACGCCCATGTTGAAGTATATATTAAAATATATTTTTAAGTCAAATAATTAAATCAGCTCAACTCACCTGGGTAAACTGGACATGTTATTCGCAGTCAAGTCAACATGACTTAAATTTGAAGCGTCGATGAAGAAGTCTGATGGAATCAAAAGAGTCTTGTAATTGCATCTGCTGATTTCAACAGTTCGTACTGCGGACGGTAACTTGAACCCGTTGTCCAGTATTTTCTGAATGTCGACATTCATCAGATCTAATTTCTGCAATCGCGAGCAGCCTGCAAGCCACCGCAATGGAGCAGCATGTTCCTTCCATTTCCAATGGGAAAGCCCAATTTCTTCGAGGTGCTCGCAACCGCCCCACTCGCCACTAGATTCTCCCCAAGTTCCTGACACAGATTTCAACTGATTCGACAACGGCAGCGGTGGTAATGAGATGCCACGAAGTTCTATATGCTGCAACCCTTCTATTGTCTCGAAAAAATCGTCATCAGGGTATATGGGGTGTCGTATTGCGCCAGAAATCACCAATTTGCTGATGTTGAGTTCGACAAAAAGTGGCGGCAGTATAGTTGAGGATAGTTCTCTTTTTCGACCTAATGTTAATTTTAATGAGGCAAGAGTCAATATGTTTAGTTGTGAAAGTAGGTTCACATAGGAGGTTCTTGGTCCATAACACTTGTACAACGCTAGCGTGGACACAGTGATGGGGTCTAAGAAGCTAGGCAGCGATTCGCTTTCCAGGATCGGTTGGTCGTTACAAACTATTTCCAACTCTTTCAATTCTGTTATATGAGTTATCTGGATTGGTTTACCTGAAAATGTCAATTTATATCTTTACTGGCAGACCCGCCACGCGTTGCTGTGACTAAGATTCTTAAATAAAATAATATTGCGACTATAAATTGAGATGTAAGCTATCCTATCTTTTTAATTGGATGAAATTGCATACAATGTGCAAATCAATTTGCAATCGATTCAGTAGGAGTCCATCGCGGACAAACAACGTGACACGTAATTCTTATATATGAAGATGGCATTCTCTAAATAAGTATTATTGTTTATAAATTGATAAACAATTATTACAAATTAACTCAAAAAAAAAATATTAAAAAACATCAACAAAAAAATAATATTAAGGTATATGAACTTACAGATTTTGTTTGTTCTTTTTATTCATATTTTTTTTAATAATGCATTTAAAATTGTATATGAAAGTTTATAAATACATTTGAGTATTGACGTTTAGGAATAAATCGTGTTATACTAGACTAAGAATATATAAATAAAATTATTATACATACATTATACAACTGCATAAAGATGAAACTACTTTTTAAATTGGTCAAGTATTTTATGAGTTACATGCATAAAAAACTCATAGAAAGAATAGTATAGAATCATAGCTTAAGTTACTTAAGTAAATAACATTACCATCTACTTTAAAATCATAATTATTTTTATGAACCGCAACTAGGGTACAATTTGCAGGCGGCGGCGGACAGACCGGCCGGCTAGAAGGGGACACGGGGGTCCCTGGCTCTGGTTTATCAGCACACCACACCTCAAGCAGCCACAATGCTAGCACTGTGTATAGAGACATAACTTCTTTATTCACCAAATATAGGTACAGCCAAATTAAACATAAATATAGGTACGAATAGAAGAAATAGCTTATACGTCGAATACTAAGCAAAGTAACTACAAATAAACCTGTAGCGGTAATATTACATTGGCTATACTTAAAAAAATATATATTAATCTTCAATTCTTAATGCTACATTACATATGGGCTCAGAGTTTGTGTAACATTACATTACATAATACCGCCCTAAAGCCGCAACTATCTCGGACAAAGATTAGTCTAGCCATTCAAAGGGGCGAACGTTGCCAGTATCTTTGGAACCTTGCCTAAAATGACTCCTTTTAATAATATATTTTAGTTATTATATTATATTTTTTAAGGATTATAGTATCCAGGAAGGAGTTAGCCTTCAGCCGCTGCGAACGCTTTTCAGCGAGTTTGCAATGCTGCACTCGTTCCCCATTTTTTCCGGTGAAGCTATGGGTCAACTACAGCAGTTAAGAACAGTATTAGGATAGTTCGAAAAGAATCTTACTAATATTATAAACGCGGCAGTTTGTGAATATGGATGGATATTTGTTACTCTTTCACGGAAACACTATAGAATGAATTTTAATGAAACTTGACAATAATATAGCTTATACATAAGAATAACTTTATAAAAATTATATATGATAATTTTATAATTACTAGCTACATGTAATACACACATAAACTTTCCTCTTGACTCACTCTATCCATTGTTAGAAACTACGTTAGAATTCGTTCCGTAGTTTAAAAGATCTAGGCGAACAGATAGCTCAAACCACTTCATTTTATACTATGTGTGGCGAATTAACTATTATCGAGCGGTAACACCGATGTCCAGTTACGACGTTGAGAGGAAAAATAACCGGCCTGTCATTCGAAACCGAATCGCTTTCTTGTATATATATTCACTAAATTTATCTCCTTAGGGGTGGATTTATCAAAATCCTTTCGTAGGGGATGCCTACGTTATAATAGCTTTATGCATTCAAAGTCACAGCCCGATCGGTTTAAAATTGACAAAGTTTCATACAAACATCCCCTATTTTATTCCTTTGGGGGTAGAATTAATCAAAATCCTTTCTTAGCGGATGCTTACGTCATAACATCTACCTGCATGCCAAATTTCAGTCCGATCCGCCCAGTGCTTTGGGCTGTGCGTTGATAGATCACTATGTCAGTCACCTTTGAGTCATATATATTTAGATTGAAAATATTTCATTATTATAAATATGTAAATAGACATCATTGGACTCATCATTTCACCTCCTCCTTTCCTGTTGCTGCTTGTATCAAAAGAACACACAATAAAAGCAAATAATAGCCCCAACGTAGCTGCTAAATCTGTAAAGATTTACTTACCTAATACTAACAACTGAGACATGGTAACACGTGTGCGGCATCTCTATCGTCCACCAGTTGAATTGCAACAGTCGCTGCAGTCTGCAACACACAACGTTCTGTATTACATCGGCACGACATTTGGGGTTCACGAGTTCATATCCTACGGTATTTACTAACAGATGGGCTGTATGCTTGCCTACGTCGTAGTGTAAAAATAAAAAATGTACAATCAGATAGTATAGTCAACGATCTGAATTTTAAGATTTTTCTACAAAAACTGAACTTCTTGAAAGACGACTACTGCCCGAAGGGGTGGTGTATCGCCGCTACCCTGGCAGATCGCCATCACTAACGACGGACCGTGACCACAGAATAATAATAATAATAATTTTTTTATTGATACCAATTTAAGTAGTTACAGTTAGTCTCCTTATAAACTATTACATTTTTGTTAAATACACATCATACATATAATTTACCAGTGGCATCTATACTAGGCCGAGCCTGTATCATAGATACTACCTTCTTCCAGCGATAAATAGGTAAAAATTAAAATGTTGCAATTACATGGGTAGATTTACATTTCAACTTGTACAAGAATAGAAAATCATTTATTCAAATAAACTTAATTTAAGCATTTTTAAACAGTCATAGTTATCATTCTTTTAATCTACCACTCATTCGGAAAGCTGTCTCATCACAAGAAGAACGAGCAAGAAACTTGCGTGTTGCTCTTTGAAATAATCACTGTAATTTTACACTTCCGAAATGTGCGAATACAAATTTTCAAAATTCAGATATTAAGTAAGTAAGTTCAATTCTTGTCCCTGACGGGTCTAGGTAGTGAACTCTGAAAAGGGCGAGCACAATAGATGTATGTAGGTCGCAGTGCTACAGGTGCTACACATCTGACAATAGCCCAAACAATCCAATAAAAAAAAAAAGTAAGTTCAGAGACAAATTAAAATTAGTATTATAATATTAATACATATCTATGTTATAGTCTATAAAGTATTTGCTAGCGTTGTTACCAGTGAATGTGAATGTTACACTGGTTTACGCACCAGGTAACATGATGAGCGGAGCGTTTTTTCTTAAAAACTCGACCTCGAGCGAATTTTTGTGAGTGGTGCGATGGAGACCCGAAGGTGGACCTTCGATGAAGTTTGGTCTTGACCAGTCAAGCCGTTTCGGAGGAGTATCAAATTCAAATTCAAATTCAAATTCAAAAATCATTTATTAATGTAGGACATTTTATCCGCTTATGAACGTCAAGTTTTTACATTATAATTGTTTCGTTATCGTTACAAAGAGTGCAAATCTCATCTCTAATAACGCTCCTCGATTTGTGCTGTGCTATATGCTGTATATATATGCTGTAATAAATAATAAAAAAATATATAACTTTATATTAGGTTACTCACATTTTATTATCGGGACTAAATAACTTACACTGACGAAAGCCTTAAACAACACCGAATGCTATCAACTGAAATACTTTTAAGGAAAACTGTAGTAAATTCCTTATATTATGTAATATATGCAGCTTTACGCATGTAATAATTTGAGTCAACTGGTTTATGAATACATTCGCTAGCGACCTTCAAAAACCAGATGAGAAACTCATGAAGCTATACATATTCTTGAACAAATTCTATGCTATTATACTCATTACTACTTATATTTATATTACTTATTACTACTAATACTACTATTATTTACACTAATATTACTATTTTTACAGTTACTTCGCTTTGTAGTTTTGTGTTTTCATAAAACTGCACTTGTGTCTGATTACGAATAATTTTATGAATAAAATTAAAATAGTCAAACCAACTTCGTTTAAGAACTTTAGAATATAGTAATATATGAATATGATAATATCTCAGGACAGGACAACGACGCCATCTAGTCCCAAGCTAAGCTTGTCTTATTACTAGATAATTGATACAAATACCTAGATATTTTTTTTGTAAATACATACAAGTTTGTGTATGAAATATACATAAAAGTGTATATATACATCTATATCTATCTATCTATATCTACATCTATATCTATACTAATTATGTAATATTATGTTATCTGTGCTAATACTAATTATAAAGAGGAAAGATTTGTATTTTTGTGTGTATGTTTGTACTAAATAGGCTCAGAAACTACTGGACCGATTTGAAAAATTCTTTCACCATTAGGAAGCTACACTATTTCTGAATGACATAGGCTATATTATAGATCCAAAAAAATTAGGGATCCTTACTAAAACTCTTATAATGTAACCCGAGGTGTAAAAATATTACATAAAATGTTACAATAAGTATTGATGATTTAATTTATAAAGAACACATCATTATCTACAAAGAGTGTCGCGACGGCATGTGTCCAACTACTATAGTTATGTCACAATAAGTATTCTTGTAATTTATAAATTTAATTGAAATGCCGCCGCTAGAATAAATAAACCCTTATCAAAATAAATTACTTCATTATACATAAAAGTGTCTATCTAACATTAAATGAAAATCCAATGTATGAACATCGATTGCCATGCACGCTCGTCATTGACATTGCGGCCTAGTTTATTTCTAGGCGACGTGTAAGTTCTCTTTAGTCGTTAGGGCTGTGTACTGCATATGTAACATACTCATAAGTACAATGTAAATCGATACCGCGATCCGGAATTAAAACTGTGTGCCAAACCGCAAAACCACCGAGGCCGGCGAATGAATATAGAACGGTCTATTAGACTGCACTAATAATAAAAATTCAGGTGAGCTCATGGTGACAAATTCAGCAGAAATTAACCATCATCATCTCCTTCCTCCTTATCCCATTCATTTAGGGTCTGCGAAATATGTTTTTCTATTCCATTCATCCCTGTCATCTTATTATTTACACCCTTTCTTTCATACAAATTTTACCTTAAGGGGTTAAAATAAAATGGGGAATGTAAGTTTTTGCTTGACTATGTAATATTATGTTATCTGTGATATTACTAATTTTTTTTATTAGGTCTAGGTAACTATTCCACGTGGATGAAGTCGCGGGCTCACCTAGTTGGTTTATATTTACCGATTATAATTTAAAGGTTTTAATGTCATCTCATATTCAAAAGCAATATCACAAAATTTGGCTCCAATACACCATACTTCTAAAGAATCAATAAGTCCTGCTTTTTTCTAATCCCTACGGATACTGAACATGTACTGCCTCAGTCAAAGTCTTGCTAAGCAAAACTTCGATCCAGACTACGTGGCGTTTTTACAACGACAAACCACGTTGCCATATCGTCACTGTGCATGTGAACACTAGTTGTCTAGCTAAAGCTAGTTTCTAGATACGTAAAAATCTTTAAAAAAACTAGCACGTTATAGATTGTCGCTTGTATTGTCAATGTCACAATGACGCGCCATCACACAACCTTTTGACTGACATGAGAAACTAGAAGAAAAATTCAGTTTTTTTATAATTCAATCTTTCAAAATGGTGTTTCGTTCTCGCGCTTTACCTTCTAAATGTAACAAATTATATTTAAAATGAACTTGACAAAACGTATTTGACACCTGAACATACTTATATATATTACATGCAAGCAAAAATACAGTTCTTCAAAAATTCCATTAGTTATAAATACTCTAAAGAATATTAGTGCGCATAGCAGCAATACCAATTAAATCTGTGATGTTTGTGATCTGGCTGTTATTTAAATTATTTTACGTAAGTATACGCAATTATTACGTTGTGAAACATATTATATATTACGGTTGTTTGTGTTTAATACTTTGTACAACGACAGCCTTGCTTGTTTATTTAAAAACTAGTACGTCCTTTAAACCTATATTTCTGTGCATATGTAATGTTTACTATATATGCTAGTTCATCCTTATTAGCTTAGCAGCTCACTATTTGCAATTATCTATTGAAATATACTTGCCAATTTTTAAATTGTATCTTGTCAATTAACACCTTTAAAGATATAAATATAAGCACATTACTGTGTATATTTATTTCTTGGCATTCGTAATGTTTTGTTAGTAAACTCAATAATATTTGAATGTATTTGTTGTAGATTATATTAGTAGCGTCTTTCAACTTCAGTATTTTTATGGTTGAAGATAGAATGGAGCACTGCCTGTGTTGTGTAAGCAGGGCTTCAGCTGGAAATTATAGTATGTGCATGACTTAGCCGAGGTTTAAACCTCTTAGATGTACCCTCACAGTGGGGGCTAGAAGATTGTTAGTAATATGGATAGTAGTCTCATTGCTAGATATCTACTATGTCAGGATGACCTCTTTCCGGTCTCGTCTAGAAACCATTGTAGTTAATGTCTGGTAAATTTGCCACTATAATTAAACTGATCTGACATCATGCTCATCCTATCATCGTCCACTGGTGCCTAGTTTATACTGTTAGCGCAGATGGGTGCACCATTCCATTATTTTCGATTAATCTCCTCAAAGTGAAGTTGTATTTGTCAGGCAGCAGATGACCTTCAGTCGCACCATAGAAATAGAAATAATCTTTATACATATAAACTTAATATAAGCACTTTTGAATAGTCAAGTTTTTTTATTCTACTGCTTATTCAGAATGCAGATTCATCACGCAGAAGTATAAGCAAGAAACTTGTGTGTTGCTCTTTTAAATAAATATTGATTTACTTATATTTAATTAACAACAAGGACTAGGCATGCGACAATCAACATAGAAACCGCTATGCACTTTCTCTGTTTCTACCATAAGTTCTGCAGGTTTAGACTGTCATCTACTCTTGTCTCCATTCACATGCATTGAAGCCGTAAAGGCCAATTACAGTACTATTATACATTATTATTATTTTTTTTGTTATATTCATGTTCATTCATATTATTATATTATACTATAAATTTATTATTATTATATATATATTTTTACTATTATTATTTGCACATTTGTTAAGTAGTTAATTTTTTATTTTTAATTATTAATTTCATTATCTATATTATATCCCACAGTACAGAGTGCCTTATGGCAAAGGCCTCCTCTAATTCCTTCCAGTGTACTCTATTTTGGGCTGCTCTTCTCCAGTAGGCCTGCTGTTAGTTTGATTTCTAATGAATATAACTGAAACTGGGAGGATGAAATCAATTACAGTACTATTATAAGAGTTAAATAACTGTTAGGATTTGGAAGGTTTTGTTTAGAGAATGATAATGGATAGATGCGCCTGCCTGCACTAATGGTTCATGCTGACAGATCACCAGTGGAGGATAAAAAATTAAAAAAACACCTCACATGTTATGAACGTCCCCTAATATGAATCCTACCTAGAATCTAATTTACTGCATCGCTGATAAATAATTATATAACAACATTTATCTATCTATAACACTAAGTACCTTATGATATAGGTAGAGCAAAGTTCTACTAGCTTCTATTCTTACACGTAAATATTGCTTTATTAATTTTTATAATTTAACTTATGCATAAATGCCAGCTCTGATTGTTATTGACTCATCTATTAGATAGCTCATTGGCTACAACAATTAATCTGCCAGTTTTTTAATAATAATAAAAACAGGGCAATTAGACAGGGCCATCTAAACCCAAGCAAAGTAGAGATTGCTCTGTTGGTACTAGACAACTGACATAAATACATAGTTATTTTTAAACTTTCCTGTTTAATATACATTATTTATATTGTTAACTGTGTTTTAAAATGTGTAACTGACATTGCTGTAAATCCAATCAGCTGGTGACCACAACTAGTGCAAAGTCGAAACATCAAGAGAGGTAAATACAACAGTATTCACTATAAAATTATTCATGTTAAGACCCAGTTAACAATATATATGATAGATATAATACATAAATATATAATTTTTGTACATACATCAATATACATATAAATAAAATTGGAGTGTCTGTTTGTAATATTGAAATAACCATATTTACTATGAGTACATATGAATATAAATATGGTACATACACCAAAATAACATTTTTTACAATTTTTGTCTGTCTGTCTGTTTGTTCCGGCTAATCTCTGAAATGGCTGGACCGATTTTGACGGAACTTTTGGTAGGTTACTGATGTAGTGAGTAGTAACTTAGGCTACTTTTATTTTAGAAAAATAAAGTTAAAATCCACGTGGACGAAGTTGCGGAACCAGCTAGTCTATACATCTATACATACATACATATAAATAAAATTGGAGTGTCTGTTTGTAAAAAAAAAAATCTATTAAAAAGAGCAACACACAAGTTTCTTGCTCATTCTTCTTGTGATGAATCTGCATTCCGAGTGTCAAAATATGACTATTCAAAAGTTTGTAATATTGAAAAAGATAACATATTTCTATTTCTAATATTGAAATAACAGTTTTTTACAACAGACAGACAGACAAAAATTGTAAAAAATTAACATTTGTTGCATATGAATATAAATGCGATACATACATCAAATTAACATTCTTTACAATTTTTGTCTGTCTGTCTGTTTGTTCCGGCTAATCTCTGAAATGGCTGAACCGATTTTGACGGAACTTTTGGTAGGTTACTGATGTAGTAAGTAAGTAAGTTACGGCTACTTTTATTTTAGAAAAATAAAGTTATTAAAATTCCATGTGGACCAAGTTGCGAGTACAGCTAGTATTAATATGTGAAGCGGATCCGCTAGTTCCGCTTTCTTAGTGCCCCACTAGTTTTTTTATTAATTTATGTAATTGGTATTTTTTTTCTGTGAGAAGAACAATAAAGAATTTCTTCATTTTAGTTCACTTTATGGTGTATCTACCGTATCTTCATCTATCGTATCGTCATTTTATTTCACTATATGGTGTATCTATCGCACTGCTCGCCATCGATACGGAATTCATCCACGTTAGAACCTAAGTGGTCGCGGACAGTGCGGTTTCAGAGGAGCTTCCTCCCGCGTAGACTTAGATTGTGGAATGAACTACCTGCCGAGGTTTTCTCACGATACTACAGCATGGGGTTTTTCAAGAAGGGTATATTAGGGTTTCTTAAGGGTCGGCAACGCGCACGTAACATCAATGGTGTTTTAGGCGTTCATAGCCTACAGTTACCGTTTACCATCAGATGGGCCGTATGCTTGTTTATTACTATAGAAGTATAATAAAAAATTACCATGCGTAATGTAATACAGTATTAGTGAGATAGCGTGTAATTTGTTTTATTCCCAGTCTCAAGGCGATTGCGGCTATTAAGCATAGATGACATCATACTTAAGTCATTGAGTTTGTATCGTTTCATCGATGAATATGGCTCTGATCTAACGACTGGAAAACCTTTCGCAAACACCAGTTAAAGTTCTAGAATATTCGCGTATTTTATGACCTCGGTAGTCTAGCGGTTAAGCACAACGCTTTACGTCCGATGGTCGCGGGTTCGATTCCTCGCACGGCACAAACATTCCTGAGTTGTTTGTATATGTCTGGGTGTTTTCTACGTACGAAAAAAAAATTATGTATGTATTTGTGTCAGTTGTCTAGTACCCATAATACAAGCTTTAGCTAGCTTAACTTAGGTCTAGATGGCGCTGTGTGAATTGTCCTGAGATTATTATTATAATATACTTCTAAATACCCATGATGCTGCTCATACAGCTGCGCCTATTCACCCTCAGATGGGCTACTCCAGTCCCAAGGAAAGTTCATTTTCAATTTGTAAAAACTAGTCATAACTCAGTGATCGTAATTCGACCCTAATTAATCTTATTAATAGGGGATTGTGTTTATTATTTTATCATCCATTAACAGAAATAAAATGTTGCATATAGATAAATATTAATAATAATCCAGGACAGATCACACAGCCCCATCTAGTCCCTAGCTAAGCAAAGCTTTTTTTAATTGATAATAGAATGGTGCACCCGCCTGCGCTAACGGTTTACGCTGGCGAAGTACCAGTGGAGGATGATAAGACGAGCATGAGATCAGGTCAGTTAGCCATCGTGACAAATTCACCAAGAATTTATCACGATGGTTTTCAGGGGAACCGCATGGCGGTCAACCGGACATGGTACTAGCAATAGGATCACTTGGGGGGAGGGGATTGTTAGTAATGAGGACTCATAATACCATTACTAGCAATGCACCCTGTCAGTTTGACCTCCACGCGGTTCCCCCTGGAAACCATCGTGACAAATTCCTGGTGAATTTGTCACGATGGGCTAACTGACCTGACCTCATGCTCATCTTATCATACTCCACTGGTGCTTCGCCAGCGTAAACCGTTAGCGCAGGCGGACGCGCCATTCCATTATCATCAATAAGAAAAATTACACTGTAAGATTTGTAAGATATTATCCTATCCTATTAGATTATCCTGCGGAAACCTGACAACCGCTACCAGAAGCATTACGACCTTCACCACTACTGATGAAATACCAACGGTTTTTGGATCTACACCCATATTGCGACAAAAAAAAAATAGGATCACTTAATGCTAGCAATAAGATCATCAGTCCATATTACTAAACAACCCCCTTTCACCCCCGGAAGGGGGATGTTAGTAATGTGGACTAATAACTCCATTGCTAGCAATGTACCAGCTATACTGATAAATTCATGGTCAATTTACCACGATGGGCTAACTGACCAAACCTCATGCTCATCCTATCCTCCTCCACTGGTGGCCTGTTAGCGTAAATCGTTAGCGCAGGCAACTGCACCAATCTATTGTTATTTATAAAAAAAACCCGTCAGGGACAAGAA